ATGACACTACAATGATAAACTAAATTTAAATTATGGTACGTGCTATCATGAGACGCCTTTTAGGGAGCGTGGTGTAAGTGTAAATATTTTACTTGTGTTTAAGTTTCTAATTATGCTAATTGAATGATTATTCAAATCTATGGTTGGAACTTAGAAGTCAAACTAAGAAGTTGAGGTTTTTGTCAAGTTCAAGACTTTAGTAAAGCGACAGAAAGTTCATAATAATATTTCATGTGACTTTGACATGAACATTAATTCAATCAAGCTTTGAAAGCAGGAAAATGTTTTGTTAAAGTTTAAACATTTCAGTCTCTTTAATGAAAAAAATTATTCAGAAATAGATTTCACAAATATATAACTTAAATAATTCAAATTATTGAGAGACAATCAGATATACAATCATTATATTGCGTGAATGCATGAGAAAAGTGTTTGTATGGAAATTTATGACCTAAAACATGCTCTTGTTGTTCTTTATGAACGAAATAGCTCAGAAATCGATAAAAGTAGTCCAAACAATATCGGTACTTTTAAGCAAACGCTGTGCTTTTCACAGTAACAACAATCAATCCTTTAAATTATTCAAAAAAGTCTAAAAATATCCAATAATGTCTCATTCATTGTCATTCACTTTTAACACATTAATCTTTTTTTATGTGATTTCTCAACAAAATTCTTTTTATACCTTTAGAATCAGAATAAAACTTTCAAGTTGTGTAAAGCACTTTTCTAAGTGCACAACAAATCAGTTCAAAGAACAAAACAGAACTACAAAAACGAACGTGTTCATTTGGGGCTAATGACAGAAAGAAAGTGTCGAAATGCGCATGACAGGATGAGTCATGGATTTTCCTTTATTTCCCCAAGTTCTTCGCCATGCTTTATGCTAAATGTAAACAAAACCAAAAAGCACGGAGATTTTGTGTCACACAGTGTTGAGTTCACAGACTCTTTGAAAATTCCTTCATCATACATCATTCACTTACCAATATTTACAAATTAACTTCTTAGTTTATTTTCCAATTTCAATTACCTAAAAGAGAAAAATCAAAATTTTAATTGAAAATTTTATGTTGCCTGAAACATTAATATGTTTAAATAAATATTTCCAAGCGACGAAATAACATAAACAACAACACAAGCGCAACATGGAGACAACAAAACATGTGAGAGCGACATTTTTACAGGCGAGAAAACGCACGCGCTCTAAGAGAGTCAATAAACCTCAATCGCATTTTCATATCAATTCTTGTGCAGATGGGCCCACGAAACAACAACAAAGGAAATCATAACAAAACGCATTTATTTCTTCTGAAATGAGAAATATGTTTTTATCGATTTTTTTTCGATCAACGCATCATATTTCACATTATTGTTTTAATTTTAAAAGGAATCGTGAGAATGAAAGTACGTTTGTTGCTGGAATAAATTGATGATAATAACAGAATTAAGTCCCAAATTTCTTTGACGCTCACTCGTCATGATATCATTTTTCTTGATTGTTTCAATTAATTTTTGCGTAGGTAAAATAATATTTCGTGTGGCAAAAAAAATCATCCACTCGTGTCTCTGATTTATGGAATTATTTACAAAGTATTATAGTTTGAGCTGTTATAAGACAAGTCAGTAAACATTCTAGAGAAATTTATATGTCGTGTGAAAGTTTCTCACCAACACGAACTTCTGGAATATTTTATCATAATAAAAGTGCTGACTTCTAATTGAAAAACAACGATGTTCGATAATATTGTATAATTTCTCATAGTTGAATTGTTGGCATTGCATGCAACCTTGACCTCTGTGCTTCTTAAATAACTTTGAACATAGAAAGTGAATGAATGCTTTTTAAGTTGTCAAAGAGAATGAAAATTGAGCGATTTATCGTTCTATTCTTAAATTGGAAAAAATAACAAGCTCGCAACTAAGAGGGGAAGTAATAATTGAATTTTTGTTTTATTTAAGCGACTAAATTGCGAACAGTCGGTGCCAGCACAATATGAAGACCAATGCCATGCACTGATTAAATGACTTATTTAATTTCTCTTCTTTTGTAGTTATGATATTTAAATGATAGTCTACGAATAATTTTGTAGAAAGGAGTAAAGAAGAAAGCAAATTGAGTTTGCACCGAGGAACACAAACTGATATCGATCTAACATTTCTCCAACAAATTTTCGTTTATCATTTTGTTTATTTATAATGGTTATCCCCAAAGTACAACGGAATTTGACTTGAGCATCATATGGAATTCAAGTCAGAGTTGTTCAATGTTTATTTACAATTTTGTTTGAAACAACATAATAAAATTTGAGGAAAATTCTAAAATTGAGAATTTAAATGAAGTCCAGCAATGCAACTTTGTTCGTCTAATTCAGAACATTTAACATCACTGACTATTACCAATAACTTAATGGTATTTTATGTAGATATACATGGCATAAATTACTATAGTAATTTTACATAAAATAAGTGAATCCATTAGATGAACAAAACGATATGTTTGAATGTGAATATCGTGTTCTGACATCAACAAACTGATGTGAAAATAAAATAACAAAAAACATTTTTTGTGACACCGTTCGTCTGACTAATATTAGATCGTTCGCCTTTTCACTCTCAGTGAAAAAAAGTTAATTATAAATACGAACAGAAATGTAAATAAAGGCGATAAGCGACTTCCACCTTGGTGACATTTGAAAATATTTTTTTCTTTTTACTTTGTGGTCAAAAGCAGTACAATCTTTCAATCGCTTCGACAACAAGATTTATATTTGTAAATCAAGACCAAGAGATGAAAAAAGCTCCAGAAGTTCCAGCTTGTGACATAATATCGAGTTAAGCCTTTCGAAGCTTGGAAACTTTTTATTCATTTAAGTTACTTACCTGAATGTTTCGGACGTGGACAAGACAGAGCCCTAAGTTTTCGTTGAGAATTTTCCAGATTTGACGCCATCTTTTTAATCTCACAAGAAAATTATACCGAAAGCTACAAATTCTCCTTCCCTTTCCTAGGGTAAATTTTCGCAAGCTTTTCTTTAACTCTCAGAATTTATTTAAATATCCTTTTCCCTTTTCCTCTATTTCTTTTGATTACTCTCTATTCTATCTTTTCCTCAGTAAAAATTTAGAACACCGCTTCGTCTTAAAACAGTACGAACAGTTTAATTTTTCACACCGAACTATTTTTTCAGTTTCGCAAAAAAAGATTTTTGTTTGATTGAGCGACATAAAACTGAGAGAAAATACTTGCAACGCAACATGTTTGCTTGTGACATGAACACAACCATGACATTATGTAGCACAACCATTGGAAACTCATCTGTTGCAGGTAAAATAAATTGTTGTCATGATGACTGAAATATTTACATTAATTTTAACAACATAGACTTTTAACTGTGTGATTCTTATTACAGCTTTATTTAATTTGTTTTTGTTCATCTGGATAATCTCCCATCATAACATGAGTGAGTGTCACTAGTATTTGTGACTTTTCTTGTTAATTTATGATCAACATCAAACTTTAAAATTTGTAAACTTTTAACCATGATTTAACGCTCGTATCTTATCGTTTGTTATCAAACGCTTCTAATCCATCCAGTTAAAGCTGCTAATTATCTCTATAATCATTATTTGCCTACGTACATTAAGTTTTTTTTCTTTTAATTTATTTATTTAATGAGTGTCATGACAAATGTAAGGATTAGGGAAAACCAATTGGAATGTTTTTAAGGAAAATATTCCGACGTGTCTTGAAATTTCTCTTAATGAGTTGACTTTAAAAATTTGATTGATTAAAAGAATTTTTTTTCACCCGTTTTATGTGTGACGATCGTCAACTTATCGTTGAATTTTTCCAAACAGATTTGGGATCGACTTGACTTTCTTCTTTGAACAATTTAAGCATTCTTTATAAATATCTGATCGTAAATATCGTGGGTATGAATCATTCTTCATCAGCAAGTAAATATGTTCAGCGGCAACATCAAAGCAAAAGAAACTCGGACCGTTCGTCAAAGCCACCTTCGCCAGTTCGACTGACTTTGAATCAACATTCACCGGACATGGCGCTTCCGGTGCTAAGAACTCATCGAAAATTTTCTTTGCTGCTTCTTTCACCTGAGATTGAGGTAAAGACTTCAAGTTCTGAATAGCTTCCCAAAACCTAAAATTAAATTTATTATTAATAAAATATTAATTTTTCATTTCAGGTTGACTTTAAAATACTTTAAATTTTCCCCGCTAAACTCTTTATCTAAAAATCTTGCAAACTTTAAAATAAAAAGATTCGATTAGTGTTTTAAAATGTAAACTACAAAGCATATTTATTTACTTGTTCTCTTCCAGCTGGATCTTTTAATAACTCACGTAAGCTAAATCCCCATCGTTTGACACGTTTCAACGATATTTCTTTGCTGAAATGAAACATTAAAAATTCATCGTTACCATCACATTTGATTTCTCTATTGAGACATTTCCAAAATGAAACATTTTAATTATTTATCATTAGAATTCTCACTTCATTTCCCAGAACTCAGTGTTGTCACTTGTCCAAGGATTTTGATACTCCGGCGGTGTTAAAAAGTAATCAAACTCTCGATACTGTTCAAAGTACGAGATGTAACTAGAAATTTATTTAAAACATTAAATTTCTGTGAATAATTGATGAAGCATGTAACTTACGATTCAGCTACTTTTGATATTTTTATCGTTCGTCTTTCTAGTTTGAGCTTTAACATTTGAACCTAAAAGAAGAAGAAAAAAAAAGCTTTCGTTATATTCAGAAGAAAAAAAAGCGAACTCAAAGTTTTCTTACATGACGAGAAAGTTGCTCGACGGAAAAGTTGTGATGAATTCGCGTTGATCCCGAGCCCGAGCCAAGTGTCGAACCACCTTTTCTATAAGCTTTCTTAATATCAACTTCAGTTGTATTAATGCAATTCGGCATCGGTCGAAATACATCCCAGAATGCTCGCTCTTGCGAGTCTAGAACTTTCCTCTCTAACTTATCACGTTTCTTATCAACTTTGCTTTGTGCTTGAGTGAATAAAAGAAATCAGAGCATGAGGTCATGTGCAATGACATCTCGGTTATTATCATTTAAATACCTTCAGCTTGCATAAAAATAAATTCCCATTTGCGACTGAACATCTTTTGCAGTTTCGCTAAATTTTCAGCTTCATAATCAGCGAGCTCAAGTCTTGTCTTATTCTGCATTGTTCGCTTACAAAGATAGACAGCATAATCAGTGTTCTCAGGTTCGAAGCAGTTACTTGGCCAGAAGTAAGGTGTTTGAAATCTATAGAATGTATTGTCGTTTTTGACCGTCAAATAATGATCATCCTGTAAAGAAAATCATTATTGAATTATTCAAGGTAATTGAAAGCAGATATCATTAAAGTGTCGGATATTTATAGCGAAACTACTTACAATTGGAAACAAATAACCATGCGATGATAGAAGGTGGGCTAAGTGTAGGGCTTCAGGTGTATCATCAACATCAAGATTCTTTAAAATCCATGATATAAGATCGGCACCACTAAACACGGAGGGAATTTTGGACATAAATCCTTTAACTGTTCTAACTGCAACGCCAGTGCTTTCAGCTTGCATCTTTTCCACAATTGCTTCCATCTGAATGGATGAAATATTTTATTAAAATTAAAATAAAATTGAAAGAAATTTACCTTCTTATAAACTATAATATTTGGAGCTGTTTGTTCTGTAGTACTGTCAGTTGACGCTGTTGCTGCTGCTGTTGTTGTGTGAGGTGTGTTGTTAGCTGCGGCTTTCTTCTTCGGCGTCACACAGTTTGAGGCCTTCTCCTTGTCCTCCGTCGTCGAGATGGTAACCATCTTTTTGTCAGTTTTATTGTCACCCAGCTCGTTTAACTTTTAATCCCTTCACCTTTCGTAATCTAAAGTTAAACCTGCGAAGATGTTTAATGAAATGAAATGCAATTTACGACTAAAGCGCGGAAATTCTCAAGGGACAATAGCGAAAACTTTTACTCTCTTCTTAAATTCTTCTTCTATTAAAAACGATTTTCTTTTCTTTGGCTTCGATAGAAAGGAAATTTTAAATTTTTTTTCATAAACGTATCTAATAAGTCTTTCATTGGATCGTCTAGTTAACCTTTCTACATTTTAATTATTTAAAGAGGTTCTTAATTTACGTTTAACGATTCAAACAGTGATGAGTCAAATCAAAATTTTTGCTACTGGGATCAAATCTTTCTTCATGATTTATTGATTTTTTTGTTTGTAAGAAAACTTTTCCGATTAATATTTGAACAAAAGAGTTTTCACAACCAACTTTATGATTTTACAACACTTTGTCAGTAAAGTTCACAAATTCTATTAAATGAAACACCAAATTCTTACTTGATTATTTAATTTTAAGAATAAACTTTTACCTCTTGTGTTTGAGCTTTTTCGCATTAGCAATTTTCCTTGATATTTCCAACGATGTTTTGAGAGAAGAAAACTGGAAAATTCTTCTCTACGCATGTCACACAAACATAAACTTTTGGACTTGTGACGAAAGCAGGTTCAACCCAACATAAATTCCTTCAAGCTGGAAAACAGAATTTCACCCAACATTAACTGGGAGCTTCATTATTCCAAGCACATGTTCTGATGATGGCGAGAAATGAACGCGGTTTAGCCAGAACCAAGCGACACATGTGCTATGCATTTTCATCTTGTCAGCTTAATACTTAATAACGATTATTTTTAATTAATACATCGTTTGTTTTCACCAAGACGATTTCATTTTGCTTTGCGGTTCTGTCGTTGTCATGCATTTAAACGGCAAATTATAAAGACATTTTATGAACCTTTTAATTTATTCACAATCTTGTTAAGAATTCTTTCTTCAAACTCTTCTTTTTTTTGCACAGTTGAAAGACGAGAAAGTCATTAATTTTCACAACAATTTACTTCAAAACGGATTTCACATATTGCTAACAGATTTTCTCACTCGATTTCGGCATCTCTTTCAAAGCAGATTTGGTTCTCATAAGCATCTGATGTCATCGATATCGTTAATGCTGCGCGCGAAAAATATCATAAATTTCCTTGATGAATTAACCGACCGAAGAGTTTTAAAGACCACACAGAAGCTTCAAATTGATTACAAAGTTGCAATTGTCTTCTTAATTGCTTTTCTAACTTCAAAACTCATCAATTATCACTTCAATCGACATGAAAACGAACTTCAACAGATAAATGCATAAGCAGAAAAAAATGTATCAAGAAATTAATTTCTTCTTATCGAAAGGTCAACAGCTTCAACTTTTATTCTTGCTTTTTGCTGTTGTGTTTCTAAACTCAATAAATCTTGTAACTCAATTAAGATTTTCCTTTCATTTTCTGTGTCAAAACTCAAAAAAGCGTCGAAAGTAAATTGCTATAAAATCAAATTAGGATTTTTTTACTTCACCTTCTCAACCAATCGGAGTGTCGAGGAAGAAAAGCTGGGCGGAGCATAGAAATAAATACGCTGAGTTGCTTGAAAATTCAGGGGTTTTGGATAAAAAAATAAATTTAATGTTATTGGTGAATTAACGAGTAGTTGAAGTAACAAATCCCTGTTCATAGCATGTGAAACATAACAAGCGTCATGGGATGGTAAGCATAATACTTGTCATTTGTTAAACGTTCGACTGCCGTAGTAGTCTTTTTTCCCTTTTCATTCTACTTTCAGTTTATATTCGAGAGTCGTCAGCGACGCTAGCATTTCATAATTTTATTGTGAAGAGATCAAATATTTTGATTAGAAAATTAATCGAGTGATGAAAAATTAAAAATGATGGAAACAGACTGTGAAAATTCGATTGTAAATGTCGGAACAAACTCACCGGATACATTAATTGAAGCAAAATTAGCAAAAATGCCGAAAGCATTTTCTATAGAAAATTTAATCGCTAAAAAATCAAACGTGTCAGTGGAAAATGATCAACAAGATCGCCATCCTCTTATAGATTCATCAGCTTCCGAATATTTCGCTCAACATAGAATTCCACCGATAACATTTCCTCAGAACTTTCCTTTCTACCATCCATGGGCGGCTAATTATTTAATGTCACAAACAAACATACCCCCGAATTTATTACTCAATGCAAGTCCCCAACAGTTGTATCAACTTCAGAATGACAAATTGGCTGGTTTAGTGGACACAACTGTAAACATCAGTAACGGTAAATTCTCGGAATTACTTTTCAATCCTCACGCCTCGATTTTACCACACGATCAATTCACAACATATCTTCATCAACATCCCGAACATTCTGTTCTAAGCAATAAACTTAAGGACTCAAATTTTCTCAGTGAATTCTATAACAATTATTTAATGACCGAAAATAATCGTCTGATAAGTGTCGCGAGTGATAACAACAATGTGAAACGAACAAAGAAATGTCAGGAAAATGACAATTGCAATAATGATTCGAATAGTGAATTTGAAGTGGCACATGAAGAGCATAAACATAAATCTGCTGCTAAGAATGGGATGTTAGATGAAGAAGATTCTTCTTATAGTGATTTAAGTGTGACGATGTCACCTGAACAAGTTAAGAATTCTCAGGACAAAGGTGTGTGCTGCTTTTATTCTCCTAACATTAATGTCCGTTATTGAAATTCTATCGTGAAATTACAGTAGGGCGGAAATATTTCACTCAACATTATCCAAATCATAATTGCAGCATAATCGTCTGCTCACAAATTTCTTAATTCAATGAGAATAAAAAAAAAGATACAACGATGAGTTTGCGAAAATCTTTTTTCTGGGCTTGTTAGACAAGATTTCAATCAACCTAATTTTCATTCTCTTGACTTGTCTTTTGTTGACATGGAAAGGGATGGAAATTCGATTCGGAACACAAAACATAATCCGATGATATTTAGAAATAAAATATCATTCAATGAAAGCTTGATGTCGATTCTTGGTGAATCTCATAAAAGATCGAGTTAAATTTGATTGAAAGTTTTTAATTCTTCTCACACTGTATTCACTACAAGCATCAGTTTATCGCGTGTTGTTTGCTGTCATCATCGATGATCGGCGCTAATTGTCGATTAATTAAAATGTCGTGTTTAATTTATTTTCTAATAAATTGTTATGATGAATTGCAGCATCATTTGTTATTTAAAATTTAATTTGTGTATTAAAATCTTCGTGAGAATTTATCACAAACATTGTTATCAGCATGATTTCTTTCGAGTTAATAAGTTTAACCACCCTCAAAACAATTTTCTTTATCCCTCAAATTATAAGTCTTAAATTGTTTACACAAACAGTATCTAAAGGGTGCTTGCTGTGACTTTAACATCATTAAGCGATAGGACAAAAGAAAAAGAAAAATGCTATAAAAAAGTTAATCTCAGTTATGATCCCTCAATTTATTGCAACCACATAATTGTTATGTTGTGGGAAAGTTGATGCAATTTCCTAAGTTAATATTATTCAATATCATGTTTGTTGCAGAATTATGCAACACAGATTCCGATTGTTCGGATAATGACAACGAGACGGGGGAGGATGACGACGATAATTTAGAGAATTCAACCGATGAACCAAAATCAGCAAAGTCACGCAGACGACGAACTGCATTTACCAGTGAGCAATTATTAGAGCTAGAACGAGAATTTCATGCTAAAAAGTATTTAAGTTTAACTGAAAGAAGTCAAATTGCAACAACATTGAAGCTTAGTGAAGTTCAGGTGAGTTGAAAAATGATGAAGATTTGAGATTTTAGTTAAACATAAAATATATTTAGATAAAAATTTGGTTTCAAAACCGTCGGGCGAAATGGAAGCGAGTGAAAGCCGGTTTGACATCACACAATATGGGAAATCGTGGATCATCATCTAATGGCGGAAATAAAATTGTCGTGCCAATTCCAGTGCATGTTAATCGTTTCGCAATTCGACATCAACATTCAGCGATGGAAAAATTAAGTCTTTGTGGACCCAAACCAGAGCTACGGAAAGCAGCAAATGTTGACACAAGTTGCTTTGAAAATTTCAAACTTCAACAACAGAAAGTTGGAAAACCGTTCTTATAAAATGAAATTTAATTAAATAGAAACTTTAATCGTGTCTTTTTATGTGTGAGAAATTAAATGAATAAGAACGTGAAACTACAAGCAATAATAAATTTTTTTGAATAAATTTGTGGGCAATAGAATGAAATTAATTGTAAGATGATTAGGATTTGTAAAGCATTAAAGAACTCAAATGCAATATCAAAAGCAATTATTTGTCCTTTCTCATCAGACTTTTATCAAAGGTTCAATTGTAAATCTTTAACGTTAAGTGGAAAGAAATAAATAATTCTGAAGTACACTCGACAAATCTTTCCAATTCGTTCTCGTCATATTTCAGGAAACAACAATTAACCAATTGGATTTGCTCTTGCAATGCGCAAACGTTTGCTTTCATGGAATTTAGTAATTTTTTCGATTTCAAAGTCCTTTGGGCATGATGTCGTTAATCTAATTTCAGGACAAACATAATTTTTTCCACATCAAATGTTCCGATTTCACGCGCTTGAATGAAATTGCTTGTTAGAAAAAAGGCAAACAATTAGAAACGCATTTTTGACTTCTCTAATCGCTTCTCACTTTCTCCCCCCTTCCATTTGTTGTTTTTATGATGTTTCACATTACAAATCCAAATCCCTGTAGATGACATTTCGATTTTTATTTCAAAAAGATTTCAAAACACAATTCCAGGTGTAACACGCCCAAAAATTTTCTGTTGTTTAGCATTTAAATTTCTTTCTTCTTTCCTTTTTTTGCGCAACACCCTTTTATGTGATCGTTAAGTCGAATAATTTGTTTGTCGATGCAATTAACCCTCATCATCGTTTTCATTTTGTGACAATGTTCGCATATGCCGTTTTATTCGTTGTTCAGAATGAATGTTTGCATTTATTGCTTTGATCATGAGATTGAAAGAATTTTTGAAGTATTTTCTCATTCTTCTTAAGAAAGTGATGAATCTTTATTCAAATTTTTCATCCTGAATGTCTTGTCATGATCACGAACAACAATCGCATCGAAAATCACTTCTCTTCAATGCCCTTTAAACGCCTACATCAAAAGAGATAGAATTCAATTAAAATATTGCAAGTCAACTCATAATTTGATAGTTTATTCTACAGTTAGTGAATTGCTTTCTCTCCCTCCTTGTTCCGGAACCCTCGTAAAAAATTTTAATTTCTTTTTATTCAATTTACAATAACTAATGACTTCTGGAATTCTTTTTTTGTTTTCGAAACACGCCCATGATTTACTGAAAAGTTTAGTTGATGTCGTCTTTGAATTTATGAGTTTTTTCTTTATTAATATTTTAGAAAAAAATTTGTCTTGTTTTCGGGGAAGATTGCTGGCACACATGGTCGACAAATTTCATCACTAAACACATCATTTTCTTTCAACAATGTCAAAGAAATTAGCCTTTTGCTGATGATCATAACATAAGATAATTTTTCTATTTCCTCACAGAAAGATCAATCAAACATCTTGTCAGCTTTATTCGAATCACCGGGTAATGCATCAATATTAAAATAAATTTTGACAAACTTTCTATTGCAGTCGATTAAACAACAAAAGAGAAACAAAATTTGTCAATTCGATAGAATTATCGATAACTAAGAATAATAATAATGTCCAAATATTGACGGAATGGGACTTGAATATCAAAAAGCTGTTAAGTTGAGTCAATTAGAAATGAACAACAATAAGCACCACCGCCGGTGAAGAAATGTTATTCTTGAAATTGAACAAGAACAGAAGTCATGATTATCAGAAATGTCTGTTCAATCGTCAGAATACCGCCGTCAACATTAATGTTTTTAATTTCAATCGAATTCTGTCTGGAGACAAACTTCCTAGGAACTCAAAAGAATATTTAAATAATCGCCATTCGTATTAAAATCTTTTCTTTTCTTTTTTAAATTTGAGATTTGATGAAATGAAGAATTGATTTCATTGGAAACTTCTTCAACATTTTCCTGAATTTATTGCTTAAATTTTAAGGTATAATAAGAACGGATAAGACAAAGGATTTCTCAGGAAATTAAAAATTGAAGCTTTCAATTTTGCCGCAAATTACCTGCTGATTTAATATGCTATAAGCATACATTTGTGACACGCAAATGTTGGCATGCACATGGTAAATGCTATTTCATTATTGCAATAGCAAGAACCATAAATAAATATCTAGCGATTTCTAATTACTTCATTTGTTTTACTTTTGTAATGATGATTGCTTGGATATTAAGAAAATACTTAATTAAGATTTGATTAAATAGGATTAAACATGACGTTTTATGTTGCATTTACAACATACACAAATGGCAAGAAGAACATTGGTAAGAGTGAAACTAGACTCGGTAGTAATTTTAAATTTTATGATTAATCTAACAAAAAGTTATAAATTTGTTGAAAGAAATAACAAGCAAGAGTTAACTTATAAAACAAAGATTTAATGCAATTAAGAACCTCATTTCGTTCTCAAAATGCTTTCAATGCACATGCTATGTACTTATCTACTTGTCACAAAGCTGAAATCATTTACGAGGTTAACGAAAAAAAAATCTTTCATGTTTATTTTCATAATAAATAGCATAAAGTGACTTTCAACTAACTGAAACTGTCGTGATTAATTTCAAAGCTAAACATTTGAACTTGAAGTGTGAAACAAAATGATCATGAAAATATCTGCGAAATGAATCGTGAATTGTTTCCTGTCGTTTTGCGTTTTGAATTCTCGTCTTTAAAAATCATTACATTGAGTCAGTGAGCCAAAGATCATCATCTGCAATTCTTCTCCCCATTTTAGAATGAAATGTGTTTGTTGTTTGCTTTTCTTTTTTTTCTCATTTATGTTCTTCAACGCCCACAATTTTCCAGCATGTTGTGAGATGAATGGACTTGAAGTTGCTTTTCACGTTCAACTGAACGTTGTTGATGATATTTTCTTTTTCGGCAACAAATTAAATGGTAATGATGATGACGAAAGTAATCATGTTGCACATAAAAAATCATTTTCTAGCTTAAAGTTTGTCGGCAGCAATATCAAAGAATTTACTTCGTGCTTGAATGAAATCATTGACATTGTGACAGTAGCCACACACTAAATCGTAAATTGCGAAAAAAATCAACACCCTCTGATCTTTTTTATTCCATTTCTAAAGGGTAGCAACTCAGAACGATGACATAGAAAGTTTCCAGGGTGGCTATAATTTCTGTACTTCCCATCAAAACATATTCGACAAATCGCCTCGAGAAAAGTCGTAAAAAGTTTTATTTTATTTTTTAAATCACATTAAACTAAACATTGTTTGAATTCTTTTGTCATTGACTTTTTTTGCTGATATGGCAAGAATGATGAAAAGAAAATCGACCACAAAACTATTCAACTTCAATTTAATTTCCATAAGTCATTCGTCCGAAGCACAAGATGATAATTTATTATCGTTTAAGGAAGATAATTTATGTATTGATGACTTCCGAGAAACTCCTTGAATTTATGAGACGATGTCAATGTTGCTTCTTCTTTTTTTGCACATGATAAATGATCATTTTGAGATAGTTTGGAAGGAAAGTTTTTAAGTAAATTCGACAACAATGAAACTGTCATAAATGGAATGACATCCATTTGAAAAAAAAATTAACATTATGATGATTCTTTCATCCCTTCAGATGCTGCTGCTGCATTTGTGATCATCCCTTAAGTGAATATTTACGTCATGGCTTGTTAAACTTTTCATTGTAATTGATTATCATATCAATCCAAAATGTGAATGAATTGTACTTAAATGTTAAGGTTTTGAAACACTGCTTTATGCAAATGACCAGAGAAGCAAGAAATGAAAACTGTTTCAATTTATAATGAAATTAACTTTCCTAATCCCTTAAATTATCCTTTCGATTCCGCATCGTATCCTTGACACAAATCATAAAATCATTCATGTTACGCCTCTCAAAAGGATTTTCTGACATGAAAAAAAAATTTAACTACACGATAAATGAATTTTCTCTCCCGCCAAACATCTCATAATTTGTATTGTCGTTCTGTGTGCTGGAAATTAATTTTTCATCTCTTTTCGCTGCTCATTGCATGCCGCTCATGAATAAAATTTGTATCATTTTCGTTTTTCAAATAGCATGGGGGGTATTTGACAATGATTCACCCTCGTTTAACGACTCGAAGAATGAGTTAGTGAGTGCTCTTAAACCGTCAAGAAAAGCAAATAGGAAAAGGATGTGGAAAATCAGAAATGAATTAATTTCAAACATTAACTTGAAGTCGTCGATGTGGTTTTTAGTGAACAACAATTGAAAACTTCTAAAGTTCTAACTAAGGGTGAAAAGATTTCTTAATCGATTCTAAATGACAATGTCGTGAAACATTTTAAAGATTCGTGAATTAAATTGAAGAAGAAAAGTTTTATTTTGTGGGGTTGTTCTTTGATAAAACATCAAATTATGATTTAAGTTTCTAATTTCTTTTTTGTTGTTATTATTAATAATAACAATTCACTCAATTGAAGAAAAACATTTATAATAAATATCTACGCAATTAGGTAAGCGAGACCATAATTTTCTATTGAAGTTATTAAATATTTATGATGTTGACAGAATTATCAACTTTGTGGGTTTTCATAGCTTGAAAGTTAATGGAGAAACCACCAACAGTGTAAATATTTTATGAAACTGTAATTGCATCCATAACGACATTTAATTTCACGTAATTTTTAAGGTTCTCCAATAAATTATTTAACAATGATTTGGAATTGAATGATAATCGATGTTTAATGGTCTTGTCATCAAACAATGTCATGAAAAATTGAAAACAAAATTTTCGATTTTACTACATAAAATTTTATTTAGTTTTTTTTTCTCTGTAAAAATAGATATTAAAATTGTAAATTAATTAGTGAAACATATTTTATAACATTAATTTTATTGTTTCGATTCATCTCTCTACTATCCGATTCTAACAATATTCCGAATAAAAAATTCTACATACAAGAGTCATAATGAAATGAAGAAATTATCTAAAAGTTGAATCTATTCATTGCTTTGATAAAATTTCTTAAACCTTTATCCATTGACCCTTTAACAAGTTTCATGTTTTTATTGTTTCGAAAACAGCACCAATCTAAATATTTCTTTTTTCCTTACGTAACTATCTACGGAATTTTCTGATATTTAATTACATTTTACACAAAATAGATTACAAGAATATGATTGTTCTTGGATTATTCGCAGTTATTTACACTGAAAAATTTAGTTATAGTTGTAAGGTTAAGATGTTCATAATTAAGAATTTATAATTTCAAAGCATATTGATTGCAACGGTTTTCTTTAAACAGTTATGATCATAAATCAATCATTCAATGATTACCTATTTGAAACTCTTAACACTCTTAACGTTACAACATAAAAAAATGAAGAAGCAAAAGCACTTCAGAGATTACAACAACAAAAAATATAATTTTTATATCACTTTCTTATGCATTTGCTTGTTTTTTTTTTATCTTTTTTTTTCGTTTACTATTAAATAGAAGATTATGTGAAAAAGGAAAGAAGTAACTTCGTATATCAATCACGCTTTATGTTGCTTACTTATTCGCATCAATGCGTTTAGTTAAAGAGAATTCATTAATAATATTTACTGACAAATGGATGAAGTTCATTATGAAAATCAAAATTGTCATTTCTCGGACACACAAACAATACTTTTGTTGCTATATAAATTTTCCACTTATCTTAACAAACTTCATCTCATCATATTATCAAGTAGCAAAAAAAAACAATTAAAGTTTCTTAGAAATTTCTTTTAAACTTAAAACTCTTCAACTCAAAGTTTACTTTTTAATAATAATCGATGATGATCTGTTGCTAAACACAACAGCTCGTGATTTACTTTCTTTCAACATTAACTTAATGGAGAGTTTTTAACTTGTGATAAATGGTGATGGAAAGAAAGTTTTATGGCCGTTCTTACTTCGCCAATGGATCCAAGTCCGATAAGCTGAAGTCTTCAATGTTAAATCCATTCTTCATCTGAAAGTGACAAAATAAAATAAACAAAATTAAATTATTTGCTAATGTTAAAAGTGAAATCGTGAGTTATTTTAATAAAATTTTATAACAGACAAGAAGCACATATAAATATGAGTCATGAATGAAACAATTATTTAATAGCCCAAAAAAAATATGCGAAGGTAAAACACGAACAATGAACAAAAAATAAAATTATGAATTTCGACATGTAAAAAGCAGCAGCTGTTAAGTGTTAGTTGATATTCCAGATATTCACAAAGTTCACAAAGACGCTCACACTTGCGTTGATTACCTTCGACACATGATGATGGCCATTCTGGAGATTCTTTTGATCGGAAAGTTTATTCGAGAACTCATGAATCATTGGTGACGTCTTTTCGACCTTAAACTCACTAAACGCTGCAATTGCAAAGTCCTTGAACAGATCGGGATTGACTTCAGTCTTGACCGTTTTAACCTGATGTGCCACTGGCACTTCTTGAACAACATTCCCCACCTCATTCTTAAAGACATCATATTTATTGTTTTTTGCAGCCATCATCATCTCAGATGACTTTTGAAACAACTTTGACGGCGACTTTTTCGCCGATTCTTGACTTTGCGCAAGAAATGGATTTCGTGACGATTGCAAATCATTTATCATGTCATGCTTTTCACTCAAATCATCATCAAATCGACTCATTTGAAACTTGAGAGTCGACAGATCTTTGGTGAAATTTCGTGACTCATCAGAAAAGTCCAAACCATTAAAATCCTTTTTGTTTGTTATTCAAGAAGTGATAGTGAAATGATGAGAACGAAAGTGAAATATAAGAAGAGATTTAATGATACTTACATTAAACGTCTTTGTGATTGGATGGAATGGATCAGCGCCGAACAAATCTTGATTTCCATTTGTATTATTGTTGCGACGTGGTGTTGTTGCCTTTGGTGGTGGTGCCACTAAAAACAAAGAAATTCATTCATCAATCTTTTTATCTTCATTATGGAGACAGAAAGCACTTACACAAAGGTGGTGGTGATGAATGATTTGTGAAATTGTTTGTTGTTCCATCAGTGAAGCTACCCGAATTAAACAATTGCTGTCCTCCCGATGTCTTTGACGGTTCGAATCCAAATAAATCATTCGAAATTTTATTTCCATTATTCATTTCATTCTCATCAGCTCGTGGATCAAAATCAGAATCAGAATCAGAATTTAACAAAAGTCCTTCAAGCTTCGTCCCAACTGAAGGCTTTAAAGCTTCAATTGTACTGGTAATTTGATTGCGTGGTGGTACAATCGGTGCGAAAGTATTTTTTGGTGATGATTCAATCAACATTTGATCATCATTTTGTGGTATCGAAACATCAATTCCTGCAATGAAAGTTTAATTAATGAATTTACCAATCGATTATGTGAGAATGAAATTGCAAGTTTCGCAAACATTTTTAATACTTCAAAATAAGCTTTGACTTACCCAAATCTGGTGTTTTATTGCCATCGATAGCAACAGTTTCTGGAACTTGAACTTCACAAATATCGCGCACTCCCAAACGTAACAAAAACTTATCCAAGTCCGGCTTCGACATAATCTCGGTGATTTCACGCAAACGTTCACGATACGTTTGAACAGTTCCTTCAAGAATTTTATTATGCGATTGAAGTTTGGAAATTTCAAATTGCTTTCCACTGTCGGTCATGTAACGACGGTACGCTAAATCAAAAGCTTGACCAATCGTCAATGTGATGTCAGATGCAAGTTTATTCGAGATGAAGACAAAACATTCATGAGATTCATCGGCTGTTCCAGTCACACTACCAACAGATGATGACGATGATGTGTTGATACTGGTCGTATCGCCATTAGTTAATGATTGCACAGACGTTCCTGTTTTCGCAATGAAACTGAAGAATTTCTTCACGCCTTTCTCATCCGCACAATAACTTATTTTATGGAGTGGAAATTGATGCAAAATATTATTTGTTCGAGGCTCCTAAAAAGTAATTTTAGTCTTCAATTAAATATATTTAAACTTTATTTTTATTTCTCACCTGAATTGCGACACCATCAACACTGATCGTTATTTCAACTTTCTTCATTTTAGTGTTGCTTCCGCCTTCAGCCTTTTTAATCTGTTGCGTAAATTGCAGTCGTCGTATTGCTTCCTTTACAACTTCAATGCCTTTCGGTTGATCAACAGGCGTCGTCCCGAGAAACTTGACTAGATAGGCTACATGACCGTTCACCAAAGCGTCCGGTGCATGCAGCCAATTGCGACCGTTCTTTACATTCTTTGCTTCCGTCTTCGCATCGTTGTTATCGTTGTTCTTATTCCAAAACTTCAACGTAGACATTGTCGCAGTATTTTTGATGAATTTAAAATAAACGAAAACAAATAATAAATGATAATAATAGTAGTAACAAGCTAAAGATTCTCAGTCACAATACGAGTCAAAGAATTTCTCTTGAGTGTCTGATCTGGTGAGCTCCAAAGCCTAGAATGAGAAGAAATAAAAAATTGTTGCATTTAATGAAATGCGGAACAGAAGGAAGAAAAATTAAAGTTAGAAAACTCCCACAACCAGATTGCAGACTAATCAATGTAGTTAAAAATAACTGACAGCCTACATTCATTAACATTTGTGTTGTTAGTATTTGTCGTGATAAGACAGTTACAGAAAGCGAAACTTCTGTCATTTCCGATAATTATTTAGCTAACTATGTACACACATTCGAAGCTTCAGCGTCGTCCTCTATACGTGATTGGCAAATGATGATTGATAGAAACTTTAAAACATCAAACGCAAAATAATTGAAATGAGGGAGTTTAATGAAACTACATAAATAGCAAATAAAAAAAACGAGGCAAACTCTTTATCAATGAACCGTTCAAAGATCTTTGCATGCAAATAATTAAATACGCAAAAGTCTGGAATTGAAATCGAGAGATTTCCGAGAAAGTGTTGGGATATTTACTAATCGCAATATTGTGAAATTCAAAACTTGTTCATTCATCTTTCCAGTCTCGAATTCAGAGAATTCTTTGTTTATTACTAAATTATTTAATATGTTCAGAGTTTCCCCGAATTTGAGCTGATTAAGATGAATGAGACGTAAAAAGAATGAACCAAAACAAAAACAGAAGCGAAATTGTACATTCAGCGTAGTTTCCATCGTGTTATCAAAACAAAAAGAAATTTAATATTAATTTTTTTTTTCTGAGTCAACAGCATTGAACATTGTTTTTGGTTATCAACAACGGCAGACGGTTCGGGAAGCAATTCTTTGCATAGTTTCTTTCTTTCTACTCCACCATTCACTTCCGATTGAGAAAGTTATTCATAGCATATTATCAGCGATTATCTAACATTGGACAATGACCCTTTCTCACTCACTTACACTTCATCATTTGCTGCTTTTAGCTTTGTTATTGTTTGATGGAAGGAAATAAGAGAAAAGAGAGACAAAAACACTAAACGCAATAGAAAGTTTTTCTATTTCTTTATTTACTTGTTTCTTATGCTGTTTTCCCCTCTTTTCAAACAATTCACATGGCATTGTAAACTTCAAGTCTCATTATCGAACGACGTGACAGCATAAATTGAAAATCAGTTTTATTTTTGCATAAATGGTCAAGTAGCGATAAATTATTTTAAAATTAACTAACTGTGCCGTTATTTCTTTTGTTGTCACTTACTTGCTTAGTAAGTCCGCTTTGATGAGAAAGTGAAATGTGAATTTTATTCACCCATCAATGTAAAGCGACTTGTAAAGTTGTAATGTGAGATTTGAATGTAATATGTTCTTATGAGATGCTTTTAAGTAGAGAAAAGTAATCAAAGTTGCGTCATTGAGGTCGCATCTGCTTTTCACTTCGCATTATGAAAGAATTACTTCAACTTTTCTCGAAACTCTTGAGAATTTCTTAACGGAATTAACTATCACAGTTTCAACACGATTATGAGTTAAAATGCTTTTGAGAACAATAAACTCTGACTAAACATTGTTGCAACATCAAGAAATGTGGATGGGAAATCTTTAAAAGGAAAGAAAAGTTAAAAAAATGCAACACGAGAATCCATAAAATGACGTAAAATTTTTAGTGATAAAATAATTTTCTAAACTTGTTTCTTACTACAAATCTGCTACAATGAAGTTTTTCACTATAATGTTGTTCGACGATAACCAAGTCGGCTTCAATGTAAATTCTGTTTTAAAATGTTATCCACGTTCAGAGAGGCACAGAAAAAAAAAATTATCTTTGTATATAGTTGGGATTCGTTGAACCATGAAACATTGCCATTCTCGTGTCATTGCAAAGTCGAGAGGATCATTGCAGACAAAAAGTCGAATAAGAAAAAGAAAACGAAACGTTGTTCATTACGAAAACAAGATTCTTGACTTAAATTCGAATTAAGAAAATATTTGATTCGATTTTTTAATTAGAAAATAAATAAAAAAAAAGTTTTAAATTGAAATGAAATTAAAACAAAGTTTAATTCATTGAGAGTTTCATAGAGTTTTATTTTAAGTTTGACGAGATTGAATGCCATTAAGCATACATCTAAGTATCTCGTGTTATGTTTCAGATTGAATTGTACATGAAATTTATAGACGTTGCTTTGACGTAACATTGCACGCGATAATTGATAGAGAATGGAAATTCCAAACATCATTTCAAATTTTTTACTTCGAAGAGAACGGAAAATCACTATAAAAATGCAAACTCATCAATAAGTAAAAAGTATGATGAACATTAAAACACCGGAAAGAAGAATTTTGTTATTCTTCAAGTAAATCTAAACAAAATTTTATGGTAAAATTGTAGATATGAACAAATAAAACAATTAATGGGGAAAGCCAATAACTGCACTCAAACTTGATATCTAAACATTTAATTAAAAAAAATTGTTGAAATTCCAATGCAAAACATTAATACAACTACTTTGATATTTATAATAACAACGAACGACGAATTTTCTTCTCAACATTAACTCAACAATACGAAAATTATTTTTTAATGCACATTATGATTTCAACACCAGGTCATTCATTCAATTATTCTACGTCGTAACTTGATAAATTAAAAAAAAACTTGACTAATGAATAAGTAACGAGAATGAGATAATATTTTCAAACTTTGAGATTCATTTGACTTCGACACAAAAGCACATATGCAACCTAATGCGCACCGCTAATGTGCTTCTAAATTTATTTTTTAATAATTTTTCCATCAAATCATTACGTGGTGTGACAGATTATTGAATATGTGCATAGCAGGTGTATTGAAGAAGTGCATTAATCTAAGCAACTATTTTCAATCGGCATTCCAAGGTCTTTGTAGAACTTTTGATTTTATTTCAACGACAACAATCAATTGCGCTTCGTCTTGGTCACGATAATTTTTTTTAATTAAAAACAATGACAAAACGACATTAATGACGAAAACAGACAAACACAATTCATAATTTCAATTGCTTGCAAGTTAATACCGGAAATTAAGTTTTCTTATTATTTTGTTAAGTATCAAAAGAAATGCGTGAAAGTGAAATCTTTAACCATATATGAAAACAAAACTGTGTTTGTTTATTTGTGAATGTGATGTTTTGCGTATACATCTTGCTTCAAACATAATTTCCATCAATGCCTGAGATATTTCTGAATATTCAACTTGAATTTATGATTATTTTTTATTCTCGCTCATGAAACAAGTTTCAAGTTCGCCAGATCAACTGAGATGTAAAGCAAGAGGGATTCTAGCACAGGCTAGATAAGCTGGATAAACAACAAATTTAAATTAAGAAATTGAAGAAAAAAATCACACACATCAGAATGTAAATGGAAGAGAACAGAACAGACGATAAGTTTTTTAATATTATTTACATATATGCGACTTAAGATTCGAACAAAACGATTGTCAGATTTTCAACAAACTCTCAAAACCTCAAATAACATCTTAAAACTTCAAGAGTTTATCTTGATTGCACAAATTTCTCAGAATTATCGCATCAATTAATTTGCCAACAGGGATTTTGATGTTTGATTTATTTTTTTGTTTTTAAAATAATTTAAAATGTTGTTGCTTTCAATTTGAGGTGAAGCAAAGTTTAATAGCGCATTTAAAATGATTTTATTTAATTAACGGATTGATTCGTTGTTATAAGTATTCGATATTAAGAAATGAGTGTTTGTTGAAATAATTTGCAGATCCCCTGAGTTTGTGAGTGCGCACATATTCGAACGGTTTAAAATGCTATGCAAACAAATCTTTAAAAATTGTGGATTCCCAATAACTTTTGAAGAACTAATCAGTCAAGTTTCATACATCAAATATTAGCCTTAGACTTTCAGGACGTCGTTGCGCTGTTGGTAAGATTTATTGTTCTCAAACCTGCTTAACTCAAATCTTTAAGATTTGAAATCAAATATTCAACAGGAATCAATCTTCTTTCAAATATTTCTTCTTGCCCTAGCAAGACGTTTTGAAAGTCAAACAACAAACATACAAAAGTCGATTTATTTAAAGGTAAGATCACACTTGTGCCTGCTTTAGTTCTTTCAGATATTTTAAAAATATTTTTTTCCTCTCCTTTTGTCTATGTCGAGTGTTGGGGAATAACACGAGAGATGCGAAGTTAGCTGATTCTATTGATAAATTATTTAATATGTTTGTAGTGTTTAGAATGGCTGCTATTTATTTATATGATCTCTCGTTTCAACGGAGTTCCCTTCAAGGCCATCAAGCACAGCAAGAAACTTTTAACAAAAAATAATGATACAATAAGGAAACGTCTCTTGCTTGGAGAGACTTGAAGCTCGATAATGGTTTTTGAAGATTATTTTAATAACGAGTTAACAATTATCGACGCTTCTCAATGATCGACTTGAAAGTTACAGTTATGTCGACGTGCTTTTCATCAATATTTTCGCACGTCTGCCTTTTATAATCAATGACGAACATTACACGAATCAGTTGCAATTTTAAGCCCATGGAGGGCTAATATGTGACAATTGTTCAAAACACTTTTTAGTGACATTGGCATGCAATGAAGTCTCTTCACATAATTGTTAGCAAATTACTGTTTATACATACGCCATTGTGCAATTTAAAGTTTTTTTCTTTATTTATTTAAACAATGAAAGAATGAGTTTCGTTTCGGTTTTGATGTCATTGCTGATGTATGTGGAGACACAGAGAAGTATCTTGAAAACAAGTGCTAATTCAAGTGCATTACTGACACAAAACTCTGATGAAAATGTTCCACAAAAAACCGCAAAGAATTCACATTATCAACAATAACTATTATGTTTTGCTTCTCTTACAAAAGAAACGATTTTCTCAAAGCTATTGCTATTAAATATTCATGATAACCACACAACAATTGTTTCAAAAGCCTATCTCTTTCTCACTCTCTTTCTTTGTGACTCTCTTTCTCCTTCAATATCTCAACGCCACACCAAAACAACGTTAACAGAATAAATTATTGAAATTAATATTTCCGAGCACTATTGTTATGATTTGTTGAGGGCGAAGCAGCGAAATTAAATAAAAGATAAAAGAAAGAAAATAAAGTTGTCGCCTCATTTACAACTTTACAAACCCGAGTTGTCTTAAGTGGTCAATGTTTCGAAAGTGACATTTCTTTCTTTCTTTCTCTCTCTCTCTATATGATGATGACCTTTGTGACATCAAAGCTTGAAAAGCTCTGTGATATTTTATTTAGTTTTATTTCATGCAACAAATGCAAATCAATGGATCATGCATAAATTACAAACATTCCAGTTTCCACTCATTTTTAAAATGTTAAACACAAATATATCTCGTAGAATGTTCCATTGAAAGAAAAAACGAATAACAAAGCGATTAAATTCGCAAAAATATTTTTGTGGTTCAAAAACCTTGTGCAATGAGATTTTAAAAGGCTTAAAAGTTGCAATAGCTTTGATTTCAATCTCACAATCTTGACTTTTCCCTCTTGAATATATCTGCGAACTCTACAATGGAGCTCGCACCTCAGCGTTTTGCGTCGTGGTCCAATCCAAATACATTCAATCATCTCGTTCATATTTATTATAATCTTTGCGACTTAATTTTACAATCACAGAGACATCATTTTCATCATCACGAATGTATATTTCATTCACGTCAATATGAGATTCATAGAAAAATAAATTTCTCTTTGCTGCTTTTGCTTGGTGCGAGTTAAATAACAGCAATTCATGCTGGTGAACCATCCCAACTTACAAAAACTTACAAGAAAAAGTTCCGCGAACTCAGATAATGAGTAAAAAGATAGCAATTGTATTATTTTTTATAAAACAACAATCTTTATTACGCTTCCGTGTATATGTCTAAATATAGGACAGTAAATCGGAGATGAAATGAATCTATTTAGGTTCCGAAGTTTAATAAACAACTCGAGATTATTTATGAGAAGGCATTGTGGCAACTTTAATGCAAAAGCTTCGTTTACTCTGGGTCGTCAATTCACTTTAATTCAATCAAATAAGAAAATTACGTTTGAAGTCAGTGGTGGAGTAAAAAATGTCGAATATTTTATGGGAGTTCTATCCATTCTTAGACAGAATGTCGACATTTCTTTATAATAAAGAAGACCGGTTCAGTTTTTAATCATAACACCGAACATCAAGTTTTTCTAAAGAAATACAAGTGACAAATTGAATTACATGAAAATTTATCTTTCATTTAATTTAATTTCATCTTTAAGTAAGCAAATATGTTCTTGCATACGCAAATTGTTTCTTATTTATCTTTCAGTGGCCGCCCACGCCACTGCAAATATACGTAGAATAATTTACAACACTCTGAAAGTTGCTTCTACTTAGATTTACTTATTGCTCTTATGAGTGAACAATATGCTATCCTCTTATCTCTGTTATCAAACCATAAAAATTGTCAGATTTTTCAGGCTTTAGTAGCTAGTAGTAGGTAATTTGTTTTTTATCATAATCTACACAAAAGAAGATTTTAATGAGATTTGACATCTTGAACTTCGTTGAAATTACAAACCGGAAACTAAGTATTTATGGAAATTGCGGCTTTCAAAGTCGTTTTACTCTCTTTCATCAGACAGTTTAGCGCTCTAATTTCTGGTTTTCGTTGCGGTATGAAAATAAGACACAAAAAAAACTTTTTTTTCTTCTATGTTCTCGGTAAGAGTCCAAATGACTTGAATGCTCGCAACTAAAAGAAACTTTCTAATAATCGTAAATTTTCGTGACTGCTTTTCGATTTAGCCACTTTAAGTCGTTGATTTTTTTTTATTTCTGTGCCATCCAGCAGTCAATAACAAAAACAATTTCATTAAATGTGATCGGAAAAAAAATTGTTTATACTCTTCGACTTTCGCCACGTGTATGCACAAAAATTAATCTGAATAATTAATTTTCTTGCTCATTGAAATAGTTGGAGTTGCCTAGTTGCTACGCTGTAATGCAACTATAAAAATAAGAGTAATTTTCCTAGAGATTTCATAAATGTACCGGTACGAATTTCCGCTGTCACATAGATAGACGATAAAAAAAAAATTCACAACAATTCGCTTTTGCTTCCACACGTATTTGCAGAGCGAACAAAAAAATGTTAAAATCATTTCAACTTTAGAGTCATATTTATACAGAGATCTCACCAACACACACATTAAACAAGAAAAAGTTGTTTTCTTGTCTCTTCGCTTAATTAACAGTTTAATGGCTTTCAAGAGCAACAAACATTTTGTTTTCTGACTCACCGAAGATTTCTTGCACAAATAAATTTGAATTTTTTTATCCTCTTAAAGGACTCTCGCAACCGATGTATTCGAATGCAAAATTAATAATAACATTAACCACTAACACATAGACAAGCTATTATTCGTATTATAATTTTTCTTTTGATTTGCTCTCCTAAAAATAATCCAGTATTGCTTTGACGAGCTCGTTTTATACACTGAACAAACGGATGAAAATAGAAAACGAAGAAACAGATGAATTTGTAAAGTCTCGAAATCGTCATTGAAATCGTCATTAAATTTCAAAATTCTAAATACGTTAAAATGTAAATGATTGTTGTGGGGAAAATTTAAAAGAAAATAAAGAAAACAAATGTATTCAATATCTATTCTAGTTAAATTTCTATCGAAATATTTCTCACAAAAATGTAAAATATTAAATAATTTCGATAAACTATTCATTTGCTTCTCTTACATTCAATTATGATTGTACGTTTTCTGCGGACAAGGCAATAATCATTAACAGGAGATGTGCATAATGTAGGTAACATCATAATGTTGGTATTTTGATCAGAAATAAATATTTACATCGCACTTTCGACTTAAAATATTGAGCAAATACAAAAATTGATTAGCATTTTCTAAGCATGTTCATCGAAACTTGTATGTGTTCATTTCGTTCAATATTTTTTTGGAAATTAACGTGTGACACTTTTGATGATTAACCCAAACTCAAAAGTTCAAAAAAGTTCAATATCAAACCAAAACATTGAGAAAAATTTTTCGCCGAAAAGAATTTTGGATCTATCAACCCACAATGGATCATGAGACGCAGCTTATTAAGAATTTAGAGAACCAATTGAAGAGGCTGATAAGTGAACTTGAAGATTTGGAGGAGACAAAGTAAGAAAAACGAATTGTTTAAGAATTTAAATTTTCATAATGAATTTTCCAGACATGAAATTGATGTTCAGGAGTATATGGAACTGAAAGGTGAATTTCTCGATCAAACTAAAGTAATCAGCGAAGCACTTGAGAGTATGAGTAAAGGCGACGTTTCACTTAATAGCAAATATTCTTTAATGAAACAAGATCTCCGGAAAGCCATAGCAACTTCATTCAACACATTGGAAATAATCAAAATATTTGGTTTCAAACTCGAGAGTGAGCTTGAGAAACAGTTAAACTGCTTAAAAGAGGACTATAAACTTAGACGAATAGGACAACAAGAGATGGAAACAAAACGACTTGAAATCCTCAACAAGATCAAAATTCAGAACGAAAAACTTTTAAGTAAAGAAGATCTCGACTTCCTCGAGGCAAAAACACAACAAGAACTTCTTCAACTTGACTCCATTGATGAATAAAATTCTCTACATGTAATTTTATAATGTTTACGCTTTAAATGTTCATTCATTTTGTCATATCGCAAGAATAAAATTCCATTAAGTCTTTTCGTATCAATTCCCCTCTTTTACTTAAACTCGATCAACTTTCCAATCAAAAAACATTTCTTGTTAAAAAGCTTTTTCCGAAAAACATGAAATCGTGTTTGTTGATTTTCGTGAAATATTTTCAAATGTTTTGTTCACAACTGAAAGGAAACAAATAGTTTGTGGTAAGCACTCAGTAGTTAGTAAACTTTGGCACGTCTTATTTGAAGATATTTTAAAGACATTGTTTAACTTAATATTAAAGACTTACTCAGTAGTCAAGCTCAACCACTAATTCTACCATAAAACAGTGATTAAGTTGGAAACTTTTGAGAACTCACTTTTTGCTTCATACCCACGCATAAGCACTCCGAAGTAATTATTCAAATACATGAAGCAAAATAAAATATATCACGCAGAGGGTTGTTTTATGAATTGGAATAATTTGCATAGTTTGTTTGTATTTAATAGCACGATGAATATCAGTAGAGGATTTTCCAAGACGGTGGTGAATTTTCAAATTCTTTTCCTTTTTTCGTCATTTTCCACCTTCATTGTGAGCGCGAACATCGAACAGAAATGACGAGGAAAAAGTTTTATGTGCAAAAATTTTGTGATATTTTTACAAAGTAAAAGTGAAAGAAGTTTCTTTGAGAGTTGGGAAAAGAAGGAAATATTTTAATAAAAAAAGAAAAAAATGATTTTTCCAAATATATTCTGGTGTTATTGTATATTAATATTGCAAGTGATGTGCCGAGATCCGCCGACAGTGAAGATTAAAGATCAAGGCACAATCATGGGAATGTTTATGAAAATGTACAGAACACAAAGTATTGTAGCTTATCTTGGGATTCCTTACGCTCACCCTCCAGTTGGAATGTTACGATTTAGTCCACCATTTGTCGACAATCTTCCGTCTTGGGAAGGAATAAGAAATGGGTCAGTCAGTCAACCGAATTGTTTTCAAAACACAAACATACCAAAACAAAAGCACACAATGGTGTTAAATAAACTTTTAAATAAAGTTATGGACATGGATGCAATGATGACCGAGATGGGAAGTGACAAATATGATGAAGATTGTTTGTATCTTAATATTTTTATTCCCGATGGTGAGTTTGTGTAATAAAAATGAAGAATTTTGTGTAATAAAACAATCGATACTATTATTGTCCCAAAAGAAAAAGTTTGTTTGCGTCTGAGTTTAGTGAATTATTTTGTTTTTGAGAAATACTTTAAACCCGAAACAACTTCAAGAACTGAATTCCCTTGTTTTGCTTAAATGGTGGAAAATTAATGTGAACATAAAAAGGGAGAAAGAGGTTCAACTATAAAACAATAAACAATCAGTTTTTGCTAGTGCTGTTTAAGTCGGTGGCGTGCATTTTAAATCCAAATAAAATCAGAAATTCCAGAAAATCCGTAAAACAAATAGCGCGGACGTTTGACTAAAGTGCTTTTGCATAACTAAGGCAATGGGTTAATGCTTTTACTTTTGCGATTTCATTCAGCGTTGAAATCTAAAACTAAAAATGCGATTTAATTGACGAGTATTAAAAGCAATATTTTTCATGACTTTTCATAGAAAAGACTTCCATCATATTTATTGAAAAATCGATGCCAAAACGTTCTTTGTTTAAATATATACGGAATTTATTTTGGGTATCAACGTTTTCAACTTTCTTTTGATTTCATTAAACGAACTGAAAATGAAAGTCGAGTTTGTAAGTTAAGAGTGACGTGACATCGCGCGCATTTAACTCTCCATTTATTCATAAATCTGATTTTCAATGCCGACTTTGTGATTAAAGAAATTTCTTGAATAATATTATTAACATTGAAATAAAAATTTTCACAAGGAACAGAAGCATTTGTCCTTCTTAATGGAATAAATTATCTTAGATATGAATTTATGTAATTTCCTAAGCATAAAGTGACTTAAAAGCAAAGACTCCATCATAATTTCATTTAATCTTTCAACGGAACTAAGCACAATATCCAATTTTATATCAACAAACACGTTCAAACACAAAAGGAAAAAAATAAATGCATAAAATAAATTTGAATATCGAACATAACAAAGCAGACTTCTATCGAGGGATGTCAATTGAAAACGTCTCAAAAAAGCATTGAATAAAGTTGTGAATTTAGAAACAAATGGTTTGAAGTCTCAAAAGTGACGTCAATGATAAATTATTTCCTGAACTAATTCTCCCCAAGCTTTCGTTTTCCCTCAAAATAGATATTTTTCCCACTTTTCCTCCTTTTTTTGTCAATAAATTCAATATTTTGTAAGAATATGAAATCACGATAATTTTTCCATTCGTATTTCTCTTTCATGTGCATCTAAGAAATTTAATTGATTTTCATATGAAATCACGAGCATCGAGGTAGAAATTAGATTGTTGAAAAGATTGTTGAATGTAATCTTGATTAGTGTAACGATGAATTATTTTTTTAATATTTAAATCGACTTTAGAAAAAACAACATAGTTAGGTGAAAATTAAAACGGTTATTAATGTAAATTACCTTTGCTTGAACTAGTTAAAATCAAATTAATTCTACTCACATAACCGACAATGAAGAATTTCGTCCTATAGCAAGTTCAAGAAAAACCTTCGATGAATTCCGCGCCTTTGCGTGCCCGGTTTTTATTTTTATTTATTTATTTATTTTTCATTCTGCATTGTTAGGTTCACGTACATTGCGATTTGCGAGTGATATCAATAGAAAATATTTTTCAACGAATGGTCAAGAAAATGTTGAGAATAGTTTTACAGCACGACACACACAACAAAGGTTCATTAACCGTTGTTAACATTGTGCATGCCAAGGAATCCATTTAACCGATTTCTTTGATTCCTTTCCGCCGCAAAACACATTTTACTCACGTTTCTTATTCTTTGCCTTCCCTTTTTCAATGGAAGTCAAGAAAAATTGTTGGAAATAGAAGGGAAACTTTGCGACTAATTAAACGAGTCAAATTGTCGTGAGTGGGAAACGTTGAGTGAATAATTGCCTTAAAGAAATCTCAACTAACTCACACACGCATTCATTCATTTTCTTAGCCATTTCCACATGTAATTGTTGGTTGAAGAAAAGAAAAGAAAATTCATGTTGACCGAAAAGCTTTTAAAGGGGACAACGTCGTATATATGTCACTGTGTCATAAATGGGGTGATTTTTCTTTTCTTTGTAATTTGCAACAATTAAAACTTAATTTTTACAGCAAGGCTTTGGAATTGAGGTCAAACGGAAACGGACATTACAAATGTCGTAGGGAGTTTAAATTAGAATTCAATTTTTATTTTTATTTTTCCAGGTCCGGCACCACCGGATGGCTTTGCCGTCATTGCTTACCTTCATTCTGGCGACTTTTCCAACGGAAGTCCTTTCGAAATTAATCCACATCAGTTAGTGTTCAAGCAGAAACTTATCGTCGTCACGATCGCTTATCGGTTGAATATTCTCGGTTTCTTTACATCACTCGATGGCGAAGCGCCAGGGAATTTTGGGTTAATGGATCAGTCAGCGGCATTGTTTTGGATCAAGAAGAATATTAAAGCTTTTGGCGGTAATGAAGAGAATGTGACTTTGATGGGACACGGAAGTGGTGCGACGAGCGTTTGCATTCATTTAACATCCAAAGACTGGTCAGAAGAACTTTTTCACAAAGCAATCATAATGAGTGGAACATCACTCGGTTCAACATCAATTCGACCTGCTACATTCTACTCGAAGGCTGTTGATAGAACGGCACATGCTTTTTCCTGCTTTCGACGGCCAACCTCACATCTTATGGATTGTCTTCGACGTGTTGAAGCAAAATTTCTTGTTGAGAATGCTCCGGATCAACATTGGGGTCCGATTATAGATGAAGGATTGAGTAACACAACCGCTGCGTTCATTCCAGATGATCCCGAGATGTTGATTGAAAGAGGCCAACTCAGAAAGGTTCCGATTCTTACCGGCTTCACAGACATGGAAGAAGCTTATGATTTAATTGCTGAGGATATGGTGGAGAACGGAATTTCCCTCGAACTCTATGAAATGATGATAAATGAGATTGTCTCGAGCGATTTTGCACGATATGAAAATAACGAAACAATGTGTGTCGGAAACAATCAACTCGCAATGGAGGCCGTGAACTTCCTATACAAACCATATCCGCCGACAGAAGACAAAATTTTATTACGAAATTTCTACTTGAACTTTCTCAATGATCGAAAGTATTTAGCTCCAACAATTGGACTTGCTGCACATATGTCAAAGCAAGCTGAAACATTTGTTTATCGTTTTGATTTAAAACCGCGAACAATGATTGACATTCCAGAAGACATCGGCGTGCCGCATGGTTTCGAACAGATTTTTGTTTGGGGTTTGCCTTATTGGGGAGCGCAAAATGACATGACGTGGGATAATGCAGATAAGCGAGTGTCTGATATCATCATGACGATGTGGGCAAACTTCGTAAAGTACACAAGCCCCACACATCTAGGAGTGTACATAAAGTGGGATAACTTTACACATGAAAATCCAAGTTTACTAATCATTGACAGATCATTCAACATGAGTGACTTTAAGTCATTAAACCATCATGCAATTAAATTTTGGAATGAATATTATCCAAGTGTCTTAAACTTTGCTGCTGCTTGTTGCAACATGACCGAATCTGCAGGCGTCAAAACTGCTGTTGTTAAAAATTACTACACACTCGGGTTTTGTCTGATGATTGGCCAATTGCTTATAATTCATATTATCAGAACGCAAAATAATTTTTTGATTTAAGAATCAGAATTGAAATGAGAAATGGAATCGCTTGTGACAATCTTTGGACATCAGAAGTGGATCTAAAAACTTTAAATAATAAAATCATTGATAATTTTATAAGAATGTAAAATTGATATTAAAAGACTCAAAGGATTCCCTAATTGACGTAATGATTGATAGTGTAAATAATTGAATTAAGATGTTTATTCTTAACTGAAGCACTTTAATGTTGTTGTGCAACAATGTAATTATTTCAAAAGCCGATCACTTTTATATGAAATGAAGTAATTCAAATGAGAATGATGAAGCGGTATGCTTTGATGGATGATTAATGTACATAACGACACGGTTTCTTTTCAAGCCTTCCACTTACACGCATAATAATTGTATAATTAATGATAAAATGAAACGCAAATCAAGTGAATATCTAAATAAATTTCTTGTAACTTTAATTCGAAAAAGAAATGATAAAATCACAGAAATTCCATTGCTGCTAGTTAATGTAACGATAATTTAATAAATTGGCAAAAATAAATGGTCAAACGTGCCATTTCCACAAACGTTTTCCAGTTGGAAACTAATTTTTTCATTGGCGTGATAAATTTTCATGTTAATTCGCTTAAATCTGGGTCATTACACCTTTTCACTTCGTTTCTTTCTTCACATATTTTCGGGTTGAAAATTCGTATGTGTATAAAATAAAAAATTGAAGTAAACTACCCGTTGAGAGAATGAAAAAATATTTTTAGTTTGCTGACACGACACCGCGAAAATGCAAAGAAGAAGAAGAAGGAAAAAAATACAAAAACGGAAAACGAAAATTGTTTTTTTATTTTTTAAGGAATGATATCTTAGATACCGAAAGGGAATTACAATAAAATAAAAACATTAGCGTAGTCAGGAGAAAGTAAAGCGGAAAGCGACGAAAAACTGTAATTTTTAGAGACTAAAATTGTTATGCAGACAACTTTCTCAAATAGATATGCCTTAATGCTTCTTTACTTTTTCCATTTGAAAATTTAGTTTTTAAACAATGCAATTAAAGAAAAGTTGGGAGGAACTACAACAAATCTAGTCAACTTTTAAGCTAAGTTAAAAGCTTCCACTTCAGAAGCTATTAAATAATCGCTGCCATGTTTTGTTAGATTTTAAAATCAACATTTTTAAGACAGAGTTGATGAAATGAAATCATTATTGTAAAATAATTTATTTAAAATTAATTGTAATAAATAAAGAGAAGAATAATTGATAAGTTTAAAGTGGAATATTTTTGCTATACAATTCTTCGATTTGTGACCAATGTTACTAAGTCAATGAATGTCATTTTATTTCTTAAACTTTTATATTAGGTACTCATAGGTTTGCATACTAAGGAAATTCCTATTAGAAATTGCTCAATTTCGTCTTTTTGGATCTTCGATGCAATTGAAGAAAATCAATTTCTTGATCTTAAATCAACAGAAAGTCAACTTGTTGACAGACTTCTATGTGCACTTTGATGGGATGTAATTTTCACAACTTTTCACTTTAAATCATTGTCACTATCGGATTTTAGTGGCGATTGTTCAAATGTGAGGATTTTAATAAAGTCAAGTGAAATATTTTTATTAAATAATAACATAATAACATCGTACAATATAACGAATTTTATTTCAGGATTTTCTTTCCTTCATTTTGACTCAAATATTCTTAAAGGAATTTAACGACTTTTTTGAATTTAAACCTCCGAGGAGGCGCAATTAAATTTGACGAAAGAGAGAGCGTCAAAGTCTTAAGGAAAACTTACATGTTTGTAAACATTAAAAATTTTGTTGTCATTCAATTAAACTTGCTTATTAAAATAAATCTTAATAAATCATTGCAGATCTTGAAACAAATACAAGTTAAACAATCAAATTAATATCTAGTATTCGAGTAATATAACTAAAAGTTCATCAAGAAAGATAATCGAGTGTTATAAACAATCACAAATGTCTCAAGAAGAACCGGCTGTAAAAAGATATCGTAGAGATGAAGACGACAAAAAATCAGATATTGAATCAGAAGATGACATTTATACACCTTACATTCCTGTCAAAGAGCGAAAGAAACAGCAACTTTTGAAACTTGGCAGAATTGTTCAACTTTCTAACGAAGCAGCCAACATTGGAAAGTCTTCAAGTGAAAATGAGCATGATTCTGATGTTAATCAAGAGGATCTTGGAAGAAAGTTCAACATTTCGTTGTTAGATCAACATGCTGAGTTAAAAAAAATTGCCGAGTCAAAGAAAGTAAGCGCAGTGGAAAAACAGTTGAAGGAAGAAGAAAAAATTCTTGAAATTGTTGCTGAAAAGAAAGCTCTTATGGGTGTTGCTGAACTGGCAAAGGGAATTCAATATGAAGACCCAATTAAAACAAGTTGGAAGCCTCCTCGATATGTGCTAGCAAAACCTGACTTTGTTCATGAAACGATTAGACAGAAGCTGAAGATTCTTGCTGAAGGAGAGGACATTCCACCTCCTCTTAAAACATTTAAAGACATGAAGTTCCCAAAGCCGGTTCTGATCGCTTTACAAAGACGTGGAATTAAAAAACCTACACCCATTCAGATCCAAGGAATCCCTACAGCACTTTCCGGTCGTGATTTAATCGGCATTGCATTCACCGGAAGTGGAAAAACTCTTGTTTTCGTTCTTCCTCTAGTCATGTTTTGTCTTGAACAAGAAATTCGACTTCCTTTCATTCCTAATGAAGGTCCATACGGTTTAATTATTTGTCCATCACGAGAGCTTGCAAAACAAACTTACGACATCATCAAATATCATTGCGGACATTTACAACAAGCTGGATTTCCGGAAATACGTTCTGCTTTGGCGATTGGTGGGACACCTGTTAATGAGACAATGTCAGTTGTTAATCATGGCATTCACATTCTCGTTGCAACACCAGGAAGATTAATGGACATGTTGGACAAGAAAATGATCAAACTTGACATTTGCAGATATCTTTGTATGGATGAAGCTGATCGGTGAGCAAACAAATTATTGAAATTGTAAACGAAAACTAAATTTAAACTAATTTTCAGAATGATTGACATGGGATTCGAAGAAGACATCAGAACAATATTCTCATATTTTAAAGGACAGCGTCAGACTCTTCTCTTCTCTGCTACGATGCCTAAAAAGATTCAAAATTTTGCTAAATCTGCTTTGGTGAAACCTATAACGATTAATGTAGGAAGAGCTGGTGCAGCTTCATTGAATGTTACTCAAGATGTTGAGTATGTGAAGCAAGAAGCAAAAGTTGTTTATTTGCTTGATTGTCTTCAAAAAACTGCGCCACCAGTTTTGATATTTGCTGAAAAGAAACAAGACGTCGATCAAATTCATGAATATTTGCTTCTGAAAGGAGTCGAAGCTGTTGCGATTCATGGTGGAAAAGATCAAGAAGAACGTTCAAGAGCAGTTGAACAATTCAGGAATCAAGAGAAAGATGTTCTTGTCGCTTCAGACGTTGCAAGCAAAGGCTTAGATTTCCAGAACATTCAACATGTCATCAATTTTGATATGCCTGATGATATTGAGAATTATGTTCACAGAATTGGAAGAACTGGTCGATCAGAAACAAAAGGATTGGCTACGACATTTGTTAATAAAACAACTGAACATTTTGTTCTTCTTGATCTGAAACATCTTCTCAAAGAAGCGAAACAAAAGATTCCAACATTCTTAGCTGAGCTTTGTTCCGAAAACGAAAAGAATCCGGAATTGTCTGATGGTTGTGCATATTGTGGCGGTCTCGGTCATAGAATTACTGAATGTCCTAAATTAGAAGCGATTCAAAACAAACAAGCTTCAAATATTGGCAAGAGAGATTTCCTTTCAAATGCTGACTATTAAATGCTTTAATTAACTTTTTAACTTACAATAAAGAAAAATAATCTCAATCAGCTTTTTGTCGTTTGCATAATTTAGTTTTCAGTAAACTTTGAAAATCTTTTTCAATTCAATTTCACACTCTTTACTGAGTTACAAACCAATTCAGACGTGAATAAATTAAAGAAAATTTAAAAAGAAATTAAAGAAATAAAAAAAGGTTTTCAGAGAGAAATGGAAACTTCAAATCCTCCTCAAGATTTTTCTACTGATCATGACATCGCTTCAAAGCGATTGAATGAATTAATGGTGGAATATTTGAATATCAAGAAAATCGAACGTGATGTAAGCAAAGTGTCAATTTTAGGATTTCAGATTCATAAATTCTTTAACATTCATTCGCAGAACATCATTGGTGACTTGCACTCTGAAGTTCGTAAACGTGTCTACGCTTTGAAGAAGTTGCAGTTGGATACGATTAAATTGGATGCTGAGTTTCACCGTGAAGTTTTCAACTTGGAGCAAAAATTTCAATGCAAACATGATGAAGTTTATAAGAAGCAAATGAAGATCGTCAATGGCCTTTACCAGCCATCAGAAGAAGAATGTAAAGTGTCAGGCTGTGAGATCCCTCCAAGTAATTCAGAAAACGATTCAGAACCGCCAACTGGAATTCCACATTTCTGGTTCTATGTCTTGAAGAATGTCAATGAACTGAAGCCAATGATAAAAGATCAAGATGAGAAGATTCTTAAACATCTTGTTGATGTTCGCGCTAATTCAAAGTCAATACCAAATCTTTCATTTGAACTTGAATTTCATTTCGAACCTAATAAGTTCTTTAAGAATTCTGTTCTCACCAAAACTTATCTTATGAAATGTTGTCCCGACCCAGACGATCCTTTTTCGTTTGAAGGGCCAGAAATTTTCAAGACAACTGGTTGTGAAATTTTATGGAATCCCGGAATGAACGTCACTGAAAACAGTGAATATCCTTCTGCCTTGTCATTCTTCAAAGCAGATTCTTTCTTTAATTTCTTCAATCCACCTGAAATGAAAGCAGGCGACTCATCAGAAGCTGAACAAATTGAAGTAAAAGATTGAAATTTTTAATTGAGATTTTAATTCAATGTTCTTCTTCTCACAGACGTATTTAGAAAGTGACTTCGAAGTTGGACATTATCTAAAAGATCGCGTCATTCCTCGAGCTGTTCTATTCTTTCTCGGTGAAATTGACGACAGCGAGATGGACGATGATTCGATTACTTTCAATCCAGATGTCGGTGATTACGAAGTTGGAGATGGAGAAACAAATGTCGGTGACAATTAACTTAACAATTACAATTTTTTCCTGATGCGAGTTGACCGCAGTAATCTAAATTTTTCGTCACGATAAAATAAAAAATAAATATTGAGTTTGATTTCCTGATGTCATTTCCTTTCAATAGAAATTTCATTTGATTTTCACATTTCATCTTCATTTCTTTTAAATTTACAGGCTGAAAAACTTTTGATTTTAACAGCTTTGAATAATTTTCAAAATTTTGTTACACGAATGATGTTCAATATTTCCAATTTCAATTCAATTATCAAATTATTTTGTGCTTAAATTTGTCCCATTTTAACCGAAGAATGAGACTTAGAAGTAGTGAAAAATAAATAGTATCGGGGATAACAGAAGTTGAAAACGGTAGAAGTTGTGGATACACTTAACTTGAAAAGCGGTTTTCTCCAATATTTTACCATTTTTAAAACACGAACATTTTCACAGAGGTACTTTGAACCAAAAGCAACAATTTTGCTTCTGATTGTTGCAAAGTGGAGTATTTGATTTGAAGAAAATCTTGTTTTCTCCTTAATAAACATTTCAGTGTTTCAAATTGAAAGCTTTTCAAAAAGCTTTCTGGAATATTTTATAAAAGCTCATTGGAAAGTATTGGAATGAACACTGGAAAGTGTATGGAATTTGTTTACAAAATTGAATACTCGAAAATTAATGAACAATCAACGTTAGCAATCAAATAAACTATCTTATCCAGTGACGTAACAAGGCGAACATCATAGAATTGTTGATGTGAAAATCTTAACTCGTGACATTAGATTTTTCAATCAAGAATTTTTATTCAAAAGTTTTTGCATAACCGGCTCTGACCTTCTCTACATCGATGGGGTCATTTTTATTATCACTCACTGGAAAGATTGGTGCCGTAACGGGTGCAAAATATCAACAATTAAATATTATTAAAAATCAAATTAGAAATTTTAGGTAGGCAACTGATAAGTTTTCTTCAACGTTATTTATTTTATTTAAAGAAATTTAACTTCACAGTGGCTCGTCAAAAATGAGATTTGTTCAATTTAAACGTAAAAATGATCCAACAATCTTTTTGGGCGTTTCATCTGATGATGGAACCGAGATAAAAGACATTGGTTTAATTGGAACTTATCCTAATGATTTGAAGAAGTTAATTGAATCAGGTGTCGATGTAACTGATATTAAATTGAAAAGTGAGTGCCTTGCAAGCATCAAGACATCAGAAGTTGATCTTCTTCCACCAATCTTGGAACCTCAAAAGATCCTGTGCGTTGGACTCAACTACAAAGGTCACTGTGATGAGCAGAATAAAGAATATCCAAAAGAACCAATGTTTTTCAGTAAATTTGCTTCAACTCTTGTTGGTCCAACTGGTGACGTCATCGCTCACAAAATTTCTGATAAAATCGACTGGGAAGTTGAACTTGCTGTTATAATCGGCAAAAAAGCATCGCATGTTAAGAAAGAAAATGCGTTTGATTATGTTTTCGGTTATACTGTTGCTCAAGATATTTCAGCTCGTGATTGGCAAAAGCAACGCAATGGTGGCCAATTTCTGATTGGAAAATCGATGGATTCGTTTTGTCCCTTAGGACCAGCAGTTGTTCATAAGTCAGCATTAGATCCTCGTGATCTCACAATTAAATGCAGTGTTAACAACATTTTAAAACAATGCGGAAAAACAAGTGAACTCATCTTTACCATTGATGACATTATTGAACGTGTAACTCAATCAATCACTTTACTTCCGGGTGATGTTATCTTAACAGGCACACCAGCCGGTGTTGGTATGCATCGTAATCCACCGGAATTTCTACATGCTGGTGACATGATTGAGAGTGAAATTGAAGGAATCGGAAAACTCTTTAATCGTGTTGTTGAAGGGAAATAAATTTGTTTTCTTTTTTTACAAATATCTTTTGAATGAAATACGGAAATTATGTAAGAAAATAAATCGAAAATGTTTAAAGAGAAAACTAATTTCTTGAAATTTCGTATTTTATTTTGAGGATTACTAAATTAAAGTTGTAAACATGTTATTCATTCCAATCAATTGGCTTCTTTCGTGTGATCCAGAAAGACTCTCGACTTTGATAAGGCCGGTAAGGATCATCGACGTAGTATTTCGGTCTTCTCCAAAATTTCGTCACCATTTTATCTAACAACGTACTTTGAGTTGAATTAACAAATACATGTTGCCTTGACTTGTAACGTTGACTTTGACTCTTCTTCCACATTCGCTTATGACGAGCTGTTCGAGTTCTTATCCAAATTCCCCATTCGAGGCGCTTGAAACGTTTGAGAACAGCTTTTACCGATTTTCTTTTACCTTTTCTTGCAGAAAACTTTATAACTGTCCGAACTTGAATTACCGATGGATTGAAAGCACAGTTCTGAAAACCTGGTAACGACATGATGCTTGTTGTAGGTGTTGATGCTATTTTATTTGTCAAATTCAGCGGTTTTGATTGAATTGAAAGTTGGGAAAAGTTTCTTGCAATATTTGATATTGCATTATTTTGAATGTTTTTCGTAGCTAAACAAGCGACAGAACGTAATGCTGAAATTATAAAGAATGTTTATCAGTATCAATAATTGATAATATTACATATAAATGACTCACTTGGCCGTATTAGGCTTAACATTATTTATTTTTATTTTTCTCGTGTTTCCCTTAAAGCACTGCTAGAAAATAACAGAAATTCCAGTTTTACAATAAAATTCTAGCAGTTTCCAATCACAAGTAACTAAAGGTGCCGAAGTAGTAAACTTTGAAGCTAACCGGTATTAAGGAATTAAAAACGTCAAGAAAATTAGAATAAATTCATAGTTATAACAAAATTAAGTTAATTGAAATTAACTCTACAATTGCTAATTAATCGTTTTCATTGATCATTTATCATAACGTTTATAAATTTGTGAACATTTATTTTTTAAAACCGGATTCCAAAAGTTGTTGGTGCCGAAGTCGAAAACGTTCATTGGGAGCAGTTTCAAGACTCTTGAAATAATAAAAATTGGCCAAGTTCAACATCAAGAAATTTAAAAAATCCTGGCTTTGTAAGATCCAGCATGTATCGAATTCTGCTCCAAAGATCATACACTGGCGCAAAGATCGTAAGTAAACAGTCTTTAAATCTCATTTTGCTTCGCAAATTAAAGTTTTCGTCTTTAAATTCTTCTGTTTGCATCGATCCAAAAAATTATGCAATCAAAAAAAGTGATTTCAAGAAATGTTCGAAGTTACAATCAATTGACACCTGATTGAAAAGAATCTTTTGTTTATGTTTATTTTTAGACGAAAAACACGTCATCTTTAGTGCGTCAATATAGCAATCGGAACGTGCCGCCACTTCAACAAGCAGGATTTGGTAAATTTCTTCTGATTATTTCGCCTTTTGCTATCGGTGGTGGTGTCATCACTTATGCGAAATATGACAAGGATTTCCGTAAACTGCTTGAGAAAAATGTGCCAGGTATAGAGCCAGTATTAGAAGTTTTCATTGATGATGCAAATCCATTTGCGGACATCCAAAAAAAACTTGGCGAGTATCAGCAAAAGATTAGTGACACATCGTCATCCATCACGTCATCAGTGACCGGATTATTTGGCGGCAGTTCCAAGGAAGATCAAACAAAAAGTAAGACAGTTTTAATCTTCAAATAATCTTCATTTTTATCATTAACAAATTTTTAATAGAACCTGAGCCGGCAAAATTTCCACCAGTGACAAAAGGACCAATAATTCCTTCAGAACAAAAGTCAGTTGTATCAGCAGTTCCACCGCCTCCCATTTCTAAACCAGAACCAAAAGCACCTTCGAAATCTTCACAAACTCCTGTTTCAGCTACAGTTTCGACTCCTCCTCCACCTCCTATTAAAGTTGAAAAGACTGAAATACCGAAGAATCTTGTGGACCTGGAAAAAGCAGTTGAATCAGCTGCATCTCAAGCAATTAAAGAGTACAACAAAGCTGTGCTTATTTTGAAGGGCTACAATGAAGATGTTAAGAAGATTGTTGATTCGGCAGTTGAGAATATTGATATAAATGCATGGACGACTCTTAAAAACAAGACACTGACTCGTGATGCAGCAGTTGAAAAAGCTGAACAAGCAGCATTAGCAGCACGTAAAAAGCTCAATGATTATGAACAACAAATTGAGAAAAATGTTGCAGGAGTTGCTGGCGAAGTGAAAACAGCTCTAAAGCAAAGCATTTCAAGCTTCAACGAACATCTCAATGCAGCGAAAGTTGAAGTTTTAAAAGCTAAAGAGCTTGCTGGTACATCAGAAAACTACTGGAAAAAAGTTGAGTCGTCAAGAAATTATTTCGTAAGAGAAATTGAATCGCTTTTTGGAGTCAATTTGAACGAGAAGAAGCTTAATTTGTCGAAAGAAGAAGTCGACTTATTCCTTGTCAATGCCTATTCACATGTCATGGCTTATCAAAAAGAATTGCAAAAGCTTCAAACTGAAGGCGAATTAAGATTGAAAAGGGCACTTGATGCTGTTAAAGGATCAGATCAGACAGAAGCTGTTAAGGCTCAGCTTGAATATGAATTAGAAAAGGAAAGAAGAAACTTAAATATTCAGAATCAAGCGAAAGTAAGTTAATATTTTTTTCCTTTTTCTAATTTGTTAAAATTTTCATTTATTACTTTAATTGCAAGATCATGCGAATTAAAGCAGAAACAGAGAAAAATCTTCGGGATCAGTTGAAGAAACAAATTGAAGCACATACTGATCATTTAAATGATGCATTGTCAAATAAAGAAGCTGAAATGAAACGTATTTTTGCTCGTGAAGTTGATGAGAAAGTTGCAACTGAAAGAGCATCGTACAACACTCAGCTTGCTGTTATGCTAGGCAAAATGAAAGGAATGGATTCAGCTTTGAAAGGTAGGAATTTATTTAAGAAATGTGTAGATGACATGTGATGTTGACTAAACTTCTTCATTCTTCAAGTGTTAATTAATTATTTTTAAAACCTCTTAATATGAATTATAAAAGTGACACTTTATAAATTTTATAAAAATTCCAACGTAATGACGTTAACATAAATTTACGTAACTCTTTTGATATGCCTAAGTGTTACGTAAGTTTCAACATATTTACGTAACGAACGCACTTTTATGTTTCAAAAACATTTAATTTTCATATTTCTATTCATATCATTGAAACTTTTTCCTGTTTTCATTAACTAACATTTCACATTGCTTCAAATTGCTTCAGAAATTGATGAAACAATAAAAGGTAAATCTATATTTCATTGTGTTCTTCTTCTGTTCAATGCATGCTTACTTTGAGATTTATTGACGTTTAATATAAAACTTTCTATAACTCTGTATTATTCTTTCTAAAGAACGTGCAGATTTGGAGAAAAGCGCACTTCAAGCACAATCCCTTTGGGCTGCATGCCAAACACTCTGGTCAAGTGTTCGTGAGGGTCAGCCAGGAAAGTCGTGGCGTCAAGAACTTCGTCCATTAAAGAACGAAATAAAAGCTGTTGGATCTGCCGGTGAAGGTGATGAATTTGTAGCAGTAGTTATAAACACACTTCCAGAAACTGCTAAGGATCGTGGAGTTTTTCCTGAAGAAGCTTTACGAGAAAGATTCGCAAATGTCGATAAAGTAGCTCGCCGTTTAGCATTAGTACCAGCTGAAGGGGCTTCGCTTATTGTTTACTTCTTATCATTCATCCAAGGTGCTTTGATTGCTCGACCATCTGAAGCCATTTCGCAGGATGAGCTTAACAATAAAGAATTTGATTTCGGAAAATTAGACACTTACGAAATTCTTAATCGGGCAAGGTAAAAAGAAATTTTTTGACGTTGAAAATTTTAAAATTCATCAATTAATATTCTCAGATATTGGATGGAGCGAGGAAATTTGGTGCAAACACTCAAATACATGAACCTTCTACAAGGAGCTTCAAGGAAAGTGTCTAGCGAATGGATAAATGAAGCTCGTCTTCTACTCGAGACACAACAAGCAGTTAATGTTCTCCTTAGTCATGCTAGTGGAAATGGACAGAGATATTTATAAACTAAAGAAGAAAGAAGAAAAATGTTTCCCCTTTGGGCTTAATTAAAAGATTTCATTGACCTCACTTTTCCGACTTCTTAATTTGTTGAGTAATTAAGTTACTTTAGGATTTATCTTTGGTCGAAGCTTGTGAAGCTTCCAACGGTTGAATTAAATATATTGAGGGATTTTGGTCTCTTGCGGTTCAAGCGTGTAAGAAATTTTCATTCTTCTCTTCATCTTCTATTCTTCGTTCGGCAACAAAATGAAAATCGGTACAGAAGCAACGATAACAATTATTTATTCATGAGAAAATTATGCTGCAGCGTGGAAAATTTATGTTGCGCGCGTTCAATGACAGTCAGGTCGTTTCATTACGCGTTGCTGAAAACTTATCCAATCTTAATATTCATTGTACATATTTCAGGTTTTACAACAGTCATTCTCAACCTCTTTCGGCTCGCAGATTATTTTGCCTACCTTTTTATTATGTTTCAGCATGAAATTCATTGACACGTCTGAAAAATTGTGGAGAATCACTGATTATACGCATCAAAGAAAAGCGAAACTAAAAGAAAGCAAACTTTGATTGAATTCGTTAAAATTTCAGAACAAAGAAAATTACAATTAGATGATTTTCACCGAGATGACTACAACTCACGATTAGGTACATAAAAAGTAATTACAATTAAATCTCTGTTGGTTTTGGCTTATCAAAAGCTTTGCAGATTCATTAATAATTCATGAGACGAATTTTATTAAATAAGAGCTGCGGCATGACCACAATTTGACGGTTAATTTAAATTTTTGTTTCTTTTAATTATTCATTTAAACTTTTTAAATATCTGACGAAATAAAATTTCATTTTCAACCAACTTTGAATAGCGTTATTGTCATGCACGAGCTTTTTTCTGCTTCAAAAATTTATATTCCACATATGAAAAAGTAAGATAAAAAACAATGCTTCTTTGTTGCTATTTTTTTATGTCTTGAATGAATAATTCATTGATATGTACATATCTAAGAATGAACTTTTGTCTAGCAGAAGATAAGAAAATAAAAAGAAATTTATGACAAAGAATTTATAGCATTTCGTTCGGATGATGGTGAATTGGACTGAAAATTTAAATTTTTTAATGAGATTGAAGTCTCGTCGGTTTATTTTGACAAATTCCATTTTCGTTTCGATGAACGAATATTCATAAAAGATGAGAGTTTTCAGACCAACATCGTGTTCTTCTTTAAGTTAAGATGGTGCTTTTGTCGATAATTCAACATTTCTAAACATGTTCAAAGTTTGAACAAATCCCATCAGGAGAAACTTAAGGGAATTTAGGTTTCAAAGTTAAGAAACTGCTCAGATGACATATAACAGCGACAATTCTGTGTTTTACTTTTTAAAGAATTTCCAAAGCCTCGAGAGTTTAGAATGCTAATAGATCCTTGTCACTTTTGATTTTTTTTCATGTGAAATGTTAAAAGTCAAGCAAGCAAACAGCATTAAGCTAGTAAAATTTTAATCCTACAGAATACATTTCAACATGACACGACATCAATATTTAAGCCTTTGCTCGATCGAAGAAGCTTTTTCGCAATATTCATTTTGATTCGAAATTGTTTCATTCTGTAAAGCAGATTGATTCCGTTTTGAGATATTTTTCAGTGAATTTAACTGGAATCTGAGCTCAACTGAATTCGTTAGAACTATGAAAACATTTTCTCATCACTCTTTGTTTCCATTCCCTTTATCTCTGAGATTTTATATTTAAATGATTTTCTTTTTTTTAATACGAGTTCAGCAAATGGGAATTTAAAGTTGAATTAAACTTTCTAAAGTAAAACTTCTTCATGAAGTGTCTAGAATTTGATTGTAGATATATAAATGCACATTGCTAAATTTTAAATGGAATAGAAAGTTAAAAATAGTTCATTCGGTTTGTTGAAAAGTGAATTCACAATCCCACTTGAGGAACCATTAAAGGATTTCACTAATAGCCAAAATTAAGCTCTTAAGAAGTTATTTAGTCACTTGACTTAAAAGTCTCTTTGACAGGTTCAAATAACTTTAACACCTGTTATTGATTTTCTATGGATTTGAAGTTTTTTCACCGCAATAAATAAAAAAATTCTCCACTCAATGCTTCTTTTTATTTTTGTAAAAATGTTGATTCGAATCAACAACAGACAGACTTCTGATTTATGGGAATTTTATCGCGATGTCTAGGAAATTTATTCATTGAATAAGGAAGAGTAGAAAGAATATATTTGCCATTATTTTGAACCATAATAGCTCTCTTCCGACAACACTAACTCAATAACAATGAACATGATGCTTGATATAAAATGAAGCTGAAAAGTAGACCCAACTTGTTGTTATTAAATAACAATGTCAAGATAATGTGTTTAGTAAATTATTCAGTCAATCTGGTGCTTATTTAAATTTTCACCTGTTTGTAAAAAGAGTTTTCTTCAAAGATAAAAGTAATTTGTCATAAAATTATTTATGCTCAACGATTTAAATATTTTCTGAATAAATTACTTAGAATATGAATTAATTTCATTCAAAATGTCTTGGCAAAGCTGTATCTGTGAAACGATAAGATGAATCACAATTTCATCTGAATTTTAAACTCATTCCATTGAATATTTAAACACATCTAAATAAGGAAACTGAAAATGAAATTTTCATGAAAACACTGCTGAGCTGTTTAAAGTTTAAACAGATCGGTTTTTAGATATGATGAAAAACTTTCACCTGTTGGCTGTTTTAACTCCATTCCTTTCCACTAATATCCAGATATTTATTTTTCAAAATATCATATTTTATTTATAAGTTTCAAAACAAAAGTCCCAGCTTGGAGACTTCTGTCATGGAGAAAAAGTTTTTATTTGTACATTTTTGAGTAAGGGATGATCACTAAGGGAATTACAAGCGAGAAGATAAAAACTCAAACGTAAGTGAAAAGTATGCGAAACGAACAATGTAAAAGTTGAATCACGAATTACTAGATTTTCATCACGTCATTCTCATCTCAGCTGACACTTTAAGTGAATTGTCAGGCTATGACGAAGGGAAAAAAGAAAATAAAGTTTTCCTGTCGATTTTCCTTGTTGTCGTTTCGCATGACAATAATGATGGTCAAGTTAAGGAAATTTTCTTCATAATGGCTCATCTGTTAATACGATTTTCCTCAATTGCTTGTTACTTACAGAAAATGGCAACAAAGTCATTAAATTTAATGCAAAATGAATTATTACGAACCGGAAAAGACAAAAGGAAAAGATGCATCAATTATCAATATCATCGTCTGTAACAACATTATAATTCATTGTACAGCTTCTTAATTATGGTTCATCCTACGTCAGACTAGAGCAAAAACAAGTCAAGTGTTAACTTGTATTGATGGAAAATACTTCAAAGTGTCTATAAGTATCAATAAAAGATTTTTAGCAACACTGGAAAAAGTTTTTTATATTGATGCGTAACTTTGGTATTGCTTAAAAATGAGGTTCACAGAAGTAGAGTAGATAGTCAAAAGTACTTCTCTAATAAGGTTTGTAACAAGCGGCTGATAAGCACTGAAAGCAGGTTAAAGCTTGAATCGTGCACTCATAAATTATTCCTTTTCATTTTTCCAAATCTACTTTTAAATATTTTTTTCTCAAATATTTGACTGCTAAGAAACCACGACAAAGTAAATTACTTTGTTTTTTATTTGTCAAACGTGGTCAAACACTAAAGTAGTAAATTTAAATGACAAAGTTCTACAGTATTTAAGCTAGCCGTTCTCTGGTTTCTTCATAAAACTTTTCTTTTAGCTATAAAGTAGAAGGCTCAAATCAAACTACTTCAAATGGCGAAATCATTTTATTTCGGAATTTTTGTAATCATTTGTGGTAATATCCCTATTAGAGTCACATACATAGATACTAAACAAATAATATTTTCATCAATTGTTTAATATATTTTTAGTGCTTACTACAGTAAATCATGTAATTGCTGGAGGTGGACAACAATTTTCCTGTGCTGATTTTGAAATCTCTCCAGTGGCTTGTGATGGAATGTGTACACCACCTCTCGAAGTAACAGATTTTGGAGGAGGCGTTTGCTGTTGTGCTGCATTTTAATTCTGAATAATAAAGCTTTGAAATCAGAATTTAATTCAATCAAATAATTTGTTGTGGAGTTTATTTATATGACAAATAATGATCTTAAGAAGTTTCTCAAACACTTGCAGTAGCACGTTATTGTGAAACTCAAAATTTTAATTCGTTCCTATTTCAAAGTTGCTTTACTATTCGAATTAGAAGTCTTTAACACCAAATGGTCTTTGAAGTTTTAAAAACGTGGAAGAGTAACGGTAGAATGCACCATTTGTAAGCGTCTCAATCTCACGGTATGACTTAAAAAAGAAAATAATTGATGAATTTTGTACAGTCAGTCAAACGAAATTGAAACTGTCAATCATGTTCGATGTTTAAGTATGTTGAGTCATTCTGAAAACATTTTGAATGTTTTCAACAATTTAAACATCCTAAACCTTTGTCATTGTATGGAATTTCTTGTTATCAATAAGCAGACGTTCAAATATTTAATGACTTCGAAAAGGAAACAAACAAGGTTTGTATGCTTTCGTCTAACATAAAACCCTTTCAGAAATACTTTTCTTTGTTTGTTATGTATTCATTCAATATTTCTGAACTTCATGAAAGAATGTTCTATTGAGTTAATTATTAATTGAAACTTAAGTGAAAGAGTGACGATGAGAAAATATGTGAAAAAGCCGAGACGACGAGCACATGTGCTTTAATTTCGTTTAAATCTATCATGAAGTCTGTTAAACAAAAACCAATACCAAAATCTGACAACTCAACCAAAAAAGAACAAAAAAAAGGCTTTCAGTTGTTTCTAGGGAAATATTCGCTGGTAGCTGCTTGTGACAGCAGATGCTTCTGGAAAAAATGTTTGCTTTTTCAATTTGCAGTTGAACTACGATTTTTCTTGCTGATGAAATGAGAAAATTCAAACTTAATGATCTGAAATGTCTTTCAACTTTGAAATGAATCCATGCGAATGACTTTCACTGTTTCTGCTATCATATCAATTTTTCTGCGAATATTTTGCTGTCAACAATAAATTTAAATGTGATGGAAATATTCCGATTAAATAATTTTTTCCCAAATCAACATCAATTTCAATTCTAATCTTGTCACATGTCTGTTTAAAGGGATTTTAAGCTTTTCAAAATGACGAGAACAAAATAAAATGTTCGTCGTCTTAAAGCTCCAATTTATCTCTTTAATATTCTCTGTTTAAAGTTTTATACATTCCAAAATTTGAACTATGCTGCTATGAGGAAAAGTTATCAAAATATAAACTTGCATGTACACACTCAACATCAAAGCTGATTTTGCATCTTGAACTACACTTTGCTGTAGTAAAGTAAGTTTGTCTTGTTGATTTTGCGAAATTACAAGACATGAGAGAAATTTTAACGTGTCAAGACTCTCAAAGTTTAATAAAATATTTAACAACACAGTGTTCAGTAGAGAATTTACATAATATTTTATGAAAGTATGCCATCTGAAAACGCTTATATTGAACTTTCTGAAACCTTTTAAGTTTCGAATCTATAAATTTATCATAATTCCGACAGCTCAAAATTCTAAACTTTAATCTCATCTGATCAAATTCAAATTATGTTTTATTAAGAAATTAATTGAGTATAAAATAATAAAGACGAGTTTATTATGAATAGATATCAACATAGAAGTTCATGAGCTTTGTTTGTTTTGTGGTACAAAAGTTTAAACTCGTAAAGTAGATTATGCACATTAAATTTTCCTGAATACTTTAATGAAATGCCTCGACTCAAAGTTAAAACAAATAAAAGTTTTAATAGTTTCCTACTTGGTTTGATTGCAATTTGCAAATGAAATTACTAATGAACTTCTTCTACTCGGTATGATAATGTTGAAAGCTTCTGTTTACTTAAATAAAAAATATACCGAGTCATTCATTACAGTGAATGAAAGCTGCCGTCGCTACAACAACGTGTTCATTTGCCTTTATTCTATAAATACATGCAAATTAAAACAAATTAAATTATATAATGGATCTTTGAAATTCATTGTGCTGAAAGCTTCTTTCAACGTGACTTGCATGTGTGGAGAATAATGGAAAAAAGTGAAAACGTTTTTCTGAAAATTAAAAAAAAACTCATCAATAAGATTTAACGCTCAATGGCTTAGATTTGGATTACGTCAGGTGAGAAAAACTGCGTTAGAATTTTCCAGGTGTTTTGTCTCAAACGTTCATTTGACTTCATAAGAATATTTCAGTGTCGTTATCCTGTTCAATGTGATAGAAAAATGTTGTTTAAAGAGGGAAATTGATTAAATTCAAGAATTTTCTTCTAAAAATATTTTCTTTTTTCCAACTTCAAAGACATTTTCTTCCTTTTGAAATGTGAATTAAATTTGAAACATTTGGATTTGAGATAAATATAATGATGGAAATATGTTTTAAATTAAGATTGGTGTTTCCCACGATCCATTGAGGTTTCAATCATATAAGTATGTATATAAAAACATTAAATATTTGCTTAATGTTTGATTCAAGGAAATGATGTTCATATTTACATATCAATATCAATGTAGGTTTATGTTGCTTCATTCGCTATTATGTAAACATACATCAAAGAGCTTTTAAGAGTTTGGCAAGCATATGAGTTGTTATGTTTTCCGCTTCCTTTAACGATTCTCATCAATTCTAGCAAGGGAAAAAGAGGCCTTTTTAGCATGCTGAAGAGTTATGCGTTCACTTTTCCTTCATTTGTCATTCTAATCAAATATAAATCGAGTATGTTAAACGTTGACTGAAGTGAACAAAGGAAATTGGTCAGAATTAGATTTTGCTGGAATGAAATTTTGCCAACTAAAGCAAATAAGCGATGCTTATACACATGCTGAGGTTGCTATTAATGCTTAGTAATTTATATTTTCGGAAATATGTGAAACAATATCATAGAAAAAAAATGTAATTAATAACGTTTCTTTGATATTATTCATGTTCTTAAAATAAAAACGAGATTTGAATGATAACAGTTGAAACGAAGAAAATGTTACGCAACATTTTATTCCTGGGCGACGCTTTAAAAAAATTAAGGAAAAGAAATGAAAAATGGTCCAAAATGTTTTGTTTTCTTTTGGGAAAAAGTTTTCTTCAATTTGATTTGCTTTTGATGCAAGCTTGTCAGGAAACCTTGGCACGTTTTCATGCCCGAGATTTTATTTTCCATTGAAGAAACAAAAAGAAAGCTTATGTTCTTCTTCACTTAATTTATGACTCATAAAAGATGATAAAAGTGAACATCTGTTTGGCTGGAGTTATCATCTTTGTTGTGTGTTTAGGATTGTCGAGGTTTTTCTTTGTTATGTCAGTTTTTGCTCTTGCAATGCTTTCATCTATGCTATCGATCTTGTCTTTGAATGTCAGTGAAAGAAGAAAGAAAGTAAGAAAATCTCATTTCCCACCTACAATCTTTGCTTACTTATTCCCTTAATGTTCCCTCTTTATTCTTATTCTTCTGTTAAAAAGGTTTGCCTTCTTTCACTTTTCCTTTGCTTGAAATTAATGTAAGTGTTTGACCGTAAAAATATCGATTTTCTTTTTTAAACGTAACTCATGTTGGGATACTTTTTATGTCGTTAATGTTCATTCATTTCCGATTAAGTGAGGAAGACAGTAACAGTCAAGATGATGAAACATGAAAAGGTGAATAAGATTTGGACAATTTCCGCTTGATTATCACAATGAATGAAGGTCATTCGTTTAAGCTTCCTTACATGAGTTTTTCAATTAAGTATGCTTAATTGAACTTGAATTCAACGTAAATATTCAAAGCAGCAGTTTTAAAATAAAAATCAATAAATCAGAGCATATTTTTGAAATTGTTACGCAAATAATGTCCATTAGATTGAGTTCAGCTAATAATTTTCTCATCTGAAATCAATTTATGAAAATAAATATTGAATTATGCTTATCTTCTCGATAGTAACAAAATGATGATTTCATGACGACATTTATCCAGATAAAATGTAAAAATAATCAGAAATCGTTTTTATCTGTATGAGAAATATTTTCAAAAATATATTTTCTGCTTAAATACTGAAGACTTTTAAAGATGCAATCAATAACATGCAGTCTAAGTCTCTTAAGGATATATCGAAGTTCAATAATATATCTTTATTTCCTTAGTAATCATGTTGCAAGCATTCAGGAAAGTTATTTTTCCAATTTCTTCCTTATTGCTGAACTCATTTTTTTGTTTCTTTTGAAAAGCTTAGAAAAATATTTGCTTGAAACGATTTGGATGCGAAAGAAAAGAATCATGTTGCAAACAAAAATTCCACTTTTATGCTAGCGCAGCTCTAAAGCATTTTTATTTACCGGTAGAGTAAGGAAATTGGTACAAGGGCCACCCACCCTTCTGGCTGTTTGACAAAGATAATTCAAAGCTATTATGAAGTGGAACATGACATGCTTTTAATTGGAATGATGAATGAGTGCAATGTTTCATGAGAAATATTTTCATAGGTTTGAGTACCTTTGTGTTTCCTTTGCTACAACAATTGTTTGAGCAACTGTAGCAATGATTTATTTATATTTGAAACTGGGGACTTCTGTGTGAAACTCGTTGTCAACAGTTCAAAATGTATATTCATAAAGAATAAATGCCATCCTCCTCTGTACAATTTTCACATAAATAAAACTCGATGTCTGTGGCATTGTGTAACATTCACAAAGGCTTAATTGAAAAGAAAATTCGTTGTTGGTTACACTTTGAGGGAAATTGATGTCTGTTTATGACCAAGTAACGATTTGTAAATGATTCCAAATGTTAGAACGAGAGCAAATATATTGAATGTATTCAATATTGTTGATGCCTGTTAACGTCTGTGAAAAATAAAAAATTATGGTTTGTGGCGTTTAAAAAGTTATCTGAAGCGTTAACCTCTGTTTTAATTAAAATTATTAGTGATGTTTCTTTTGCGAAGGTCCAATTACTGACATGCAATTGTGAGTGAATATCGAAGATATTTCGAGTCAGCTTCTGTCTTTCAAGAAATAAAACAAGATGAATATTGAAATATATTGCAATAAAAATTTCGTTCAGTTGTCCATGCTAGTTTATTAAATTAGTAATATCAGCAAAACTGAAGTAAAGACCGGCCACATTCTTTCAACCAGTGATGGGCACAGTTCGGAATGGCATTCCCGGAATGGGACTGCGAGGGAATGGCATTCCGGACTGCCATTCCTTCTTGCCAACAATTTGTATGGCACAGTCCGGAATGGCAGTCCAGAATGCAGGAATGTGCTCATAACTGCTTTCAACTTAATGTCATCTCCATGATAGTCACATACATAAAGAGGTGGTACCAGATAAAACACTGTTTTTAAACATAATAACCCAATGCAACGTGATCACTGACGCATATATTCTCGCATAAGAGAAACTCGTCCTGGACCTGATGATGGTGATGACTGAAGAAAAGTTTCCAGAAATTAGTAAGCTGATCACTAAATTACTTGAAATTATTACTTCAAACTCTTCGACTATTATTTAAACAATAGCTGGAAAAGTTCTATCTGGGCCGAAGTTCTATTACTCCACACGACATTTCTTGAGGCAACCAATATTTATCATTTTAAATTGCCGCGATATTTTATCGGAACAAAAATGTGTCAACGGAATTCTGAAATAAAAATGGAAGCGCAATGGATGGAAAATTAATTATGTTCGACGATTATTCAGACAAGTTCTGTAAACAAATAAAAATATTCTAAATGAAAGTCAATGGATAAATTTAAATGATTTTTTATTTTGAACAGTTTCAAAAGAAAACATTTAATTATATGATTCAATTCAAATTTAATATTTATTTCAAGTTTAAAAATAATTTAACAATTCAATAATACTTTGGTAAAAGTCTTTCGATTGTTTCAGTCTTAAATTTAGTATCACAATTACCATTCATAAAAGCTTTTTCTACTGACATCCCATCGACGAGCTAAATATTTGTAAGCATCAAGGAAGATCAAGTCAAAGTCAGTGAAATTTTCTTTGTTCTGAATTTTTTCGAAAAAAATGTCCGAACTCTTCAAACAAATCTTCAATCGAATTAAGTTATTTAGAACTGAGTCTTTAGGTGGCGTATGTGCAGTGAAAAAGTTTGTTGAGATTGTTCTTAATTTGAGATTGTCTTGAGCAAGTGTATTGAAAATTCGTTGATCAATGCTATTCGTAGTGAAATGCTTTAAATTAGGAATGTTCTTTAAGATTGACAATTCACATGGTGAGAATCTTTCGGCCACCATATTTAAACTTCTAATTGAATGATTAGGAACGAGACTCAATTTATCAAGATTGGCGTATTCCTCAAGTCCATGTAAGGTGAGATCGTCCAAGTTGTTCATTTCGTTGATGATAACTTCAAGCACTTGATTTCCTAGGTGCTCCGTTATTTCAAGTTCTCTCATTGAGCTGCTTTGAGATTGCAAAAAATCTTTAAAGTTCTGCACTTGAAGGACGTTAGATTTTTCGTGGTGTAACAGCTCAAATCTTCCGACCATCAAACTTTCCAATTTGAATTCGATTTGAGAGAACATTCTTCGGTGACCGTAGAACATGAAGTCAAAATCTTCTTGATCGATGTAAAGCTGGAGATTCTCGATGTTTGCATTTTTGACCATTATCGAAATCATGTGATGAACTCTTTGTTTGAGTCTTATTGAATTTCCAATTCCATGATGCCGAACTGGTTCTGTCGCCACTCCAAAGTCCAAAAGTGTTGTAACATTCTTAAACGGCACACGATATATGTAGTTGCAGACGTTGATAAGATGAAGAACCTTCAGATTTGGAAACTGGATGTTAGACTCATACTCTTGTACAGCGTGACGGATCTTCACTGATCGAAGCTCTATCAGTTCAATTCTTGGTGAGACGAGCTCGAAGAAATTCATCAACTCCATTTCATTGCAGAAAGCGTGGTTGCTTAATGAAAATGATTTCCAGTTGAAGCTGCCCATGAGAAGTTTATGTTCCCGAGACAGTTGCCGATGTTGGTTGGAGTAGTTGCTGATACAAGAAATCGAGAGATGTTTGTATTTTCGTCCACTTGTTATCAATCTCACTGCGTCTTCAGTCTTGAAATCTCGTTGATAACAGACAAAATATTCCGAAATTTGAATTTTCATCTTGTCCATGCAGACTTCCGACTTGCCAATTGCTTTATTCCAACTCTTGCTGACCGTTGTTAGCTGAATCAGTTGATTTCCGGGGAGAAAACTGAATATTTTATCCATCGCTGCTGCAGGAAGAATCTTGACTGGGTCACGAGATTTAGTGAACTTTCTTTTCAACCACTTCGATACTTTCTTCGCTAAAACGACACAGAAGCAAGGCATTTTGATTGTTGATGTAAACTTTTTGAAAACTTTTAACTTTGAATATTTGAATAAAAATGTTTTAATTGATTTTCCACTTCTTTATAATTATTTATCAAAGAAGAATTTTTTCTTAATTTGCAGCTTTTATAAAAACTTTAAGAATGAATTTTTAATTTTCTTCTTTTGATAATTTTTAATGTTTCAAATTTATGAAAATTTTTGCTTTGAATATTTTGGATACTTTGAATCTAAATAAATAGAAATTATCGCTTTTATTTTTAACTTCCAACAACTGTTAACAACGAGTGTTAAGAATATAATGATGAATATTGAAAGATGCACCGACTTTTATAGTTTTCTGATTGAGCATAATTCAATTTTGCACCTCCTGAAATCTCTCATTAGCATTGATGTATTGGTTTTATGTGTACAATAAATGATCCTAATAAAGCTTGAATTGATATTTTGAAGTAGGGTGAAGGATCAAACGAAAGTGTTAAATGCGTTAGTGTGAGTGTGTGTATGTGTGTGTGTGGCAACATGCTGATGTTTTGTTTATTGGCAATTAACATTGAAATATTTTATTGACCTGAAAGATACCGCTTGCAATTTTTTTTGGGAATTCTGGAAATCCCAGCAGCTTTAAAGAAAATTAAATATTTTTAATCCTCCTTTACTTCATTCGATATGGAATAAAATGCTGGTTATTAATTATATATTTACCCATTGTGTTCACCAATACATTATAAATTATGAGAAACTTGATAATGCTTCTGTTTTAATACGCTTCACATGATTTTACTTATGCCAGGGGATGTTTTCTTTTAATCTGCATGTTCTTATCGCTTCAATCATGAAATACATACATACATAAATCAAATGATTTTAAAAACCTTCTAATGAAATATAAACTAAAGTATGTGTTTATGAGAATTATAGAGAAGCATTAGAATAATAAAAAAAGTAAGAAATCTTAAACTTTGAAGTTGTTTTGACAATATTTTCAAAATTACTATTTACAATGAATATTTGACATGTTTGAAGTGATTTCCAATTGATAACATTTCAAATGTTTCGAATGAGATCATCAAATGCTCCTCAACTCAAATACTCTTACGGAAATTTAAATGTTGAAGCTTTCTTCAGCTCTTAAGACTCTTCAATATATTTTCAAATCTAAGATACATATATACGATGAAATAATCAAGATTCTACACAAGGCTTCTCGATGCATAATTTGAAACATAAATCAAAAGAAAATTTATCTTTTTCTACGAGAATAGAGAAATTTATAGGAGAGAAATAAGAAGGAGGTCAGATAACTTCAATCAAACTCAAACTTTTTTGTTTTCCTTTTCTCCGTTGTCAATTTATTTCACATTTAGAAAAATCAGTATTCTAATCAAAATGAAGAAAGTTTGCTGAAATGAATACAAAGCTAAATTCTGATATCATAAGAAAGACAATCAGGATTGCTGATTTTTATAAATTAATTTCTCAGACGTTGTTAAACGATTAATAAGTAATCAGATGAAATATTAACAGATACATCAAACATTCGATCAGGTATTTCCATAATTAGCAAAGTAATTAGCATCAATAAATTTAATTTATCTTAATTAGGCTTTGCAGACAATAATGGAAATTTAATTTCCTAATTTTCCTAACTTAGAAACATGCTGGAAGCAATAAAACAGATGTTAATTATTTTAGAAAATTCCGTGAATAAATACCTTCACCGTCTCTTTCAAGTTCAATCGACATCTGAAAGAGGTTTTTGTTCCGTTTTCAGGTCAAAGCTTCCTAGAGAAGACGACTGTCTTTGACGGCATTGAGAATAATTTATCAATTTCTTTTAATGGGCTTATTGGTTCCATCTATATTTGTGGAATAAGCTGAATGGTATCAATATCAGCTTCTCATGTTGACGATATAAGCAAAAAAGTAATTCTTATAAGGTTATCGATCTTTTAAGATAAATTTTATTCACTGGAAAGGAAAATCAAAATCAATAAAGGCTTTTTTTGCAAATTTTTTCAGCGTCTGTATTCTTACAGTTTATGTTTGAATGACTTGTTTATATGATTGATGCTATTTGTGGTCGTCTCTAGAAGAAGATTTTATCAGTCTTATAAGACAATTTTCTAACCTCCCACAACATAATAAAAATTACATCAAATATTTCATGACAAACTTATTCAAATCGATTCTAATCTTTATTTCATTTTGATGAATGATTTGAAAATTCAATTTTCGAAATTGTTGAAATGAAAAAATATTTATAAGCATCAAATATTCAAAAGTTTCCTTATTGAAACCTGAAATGAACTTTCCTTGTTTGTTGTCAATGCCAAACTTAATTAAAACAGTTTTACTACCAAACCTTTTAATTATTGAAGCTATTGTAAAATAATTTTAACTCTTGCTGTAAAGAATAATAAATTTGTTGCATCAGTTCTTCATGCTTTGCGAATATAGAAGCTCGATGTTAGTTGCTCGTCCTCTCAATATATCAACTTTTTTTGCATTCTTCTATTCTGCTTACTTTCACGATAAAAAAATGTAATTGGAAATTGATACCATCCAAATCCAAATGTCAGCTTTTGTTTCGGTTGAACAAATAAAAAGGTTTTTCTAAGTTACAAATTGATTTAATACGTCAAGTCAAATTACAGCTAATTTATTTAGCAATAACATTTCCTTTGAGTATCACATGGATGCCAAAAAGTTTTATGGGTCAGTTATTCGCAAAACAACTCAAAAAATACAACGAAGGATTGCGAAACACAAAAATTGTTTTGCATTCCACAAATTTTACTGTTTCTAAATGTTCAAGTTTACGGCTATTTCAAATGTACCATTAGATACAACTTTGATAATTTATAAGGCATAAAAAGGGATTAAGCTTAAACATGGAGATGTTTCTGAAATTTACGTGACGCATGTAGATTTCATATGTTTTAATATGAAGACAAAAAGCCTTAAGGTCTTCAAATAAAGAGATTGAATTCCCAAAACAAAGTTTTGGACGTAAGCAGGCTAATTCCTTGAGTTGTAGCATACTTCTCTTCCTAAATATTTCATCTTAAAAGCAGTTGAATTATATATAAGCTCATCTCAATCTACAAACGATCGATTACAAAATTTTATCCAATCCAGTATGATTTGAAAACGAATCACACTGAATGAAAAGTTAAATATCAATTACATATGTAGGTGAAGAAGAATTAGAATACTTATGAAGTGTAAGAAGAATAAGGATCAGTTGGAACAATAAATAAAACATGACAGTTAAACTTATTTAAAAGTTACTCCATTTACTTTCATTAAAATATTTTTGATTACATATTTTCAAAACTAATCTGAATAATTTTCGAATTATTTTTTTGTCTCATCCATTTTTATTCCGGAATGCCGTTGACACATTTTTGTTCCGATAAAATATCACGACGAAATAAAATGATAAATGTTGGTTAGCATATTAAATGTCATGTGGAGTAATAAAACTCCAGCCTAAGTAGAATTTTTGCATCTGTCATTTAAATAACATTAGAAAACTTTGAAGTAATGAAATCCCAACAGCTTCAAACGATTTCGATTAAATAAAGCCTTTATTTAATCGAAATCGTTTGAAGCTGTTGGGATTTCCGGAATTTCCAAAAAAAATTGCAAGCTGTATCTTTCAGGTCAATAAAATATTTCATTGTTAATTGCCAATAAACAAAACATCAGCATGTTGCCACACACACATACACACACACACACTAACGCATTTAACACTTTCGTTTGATCCTTTAGGTACTTCAAAATATCAATTCAAGCTTTATTAGGATCATTTATTGTACACATAAAACCAATACATCAATGCTAATGAGAGTTTTGAGGAAGTGAAAATTTAAATTATGCTCAATCAAAAAACTATAAAAGTCGGTGCATCTTTCAATGTTCATCATTATATTCTTAACACTCGTTGTTAACAGTTGTTGGAAGTTAAAAATAAAAGCGATAATTTCTATTTATTTAGATTCAAAGTATCCAAAATAATCAAAG